ATCAATCTCATTTTTTGTTCTTTAATTCGGACCCTTCCATGTCCACTTACGTTGAGGTTTCTTTCCGAAGAATGAGTTCATCACAAAGAGATTTTCCTGATATAAGAAGTCAAGAAGCCTGTTACCTCTCTCATTTCTCTCACCGAATCCAAAGTTTCTCATAGCAGATTCTGAATCATCTTGTTTGATGCAGAATGTACAATGAACACCACTGTAAGATAAAAGACCCTTTTTTGACTAAAACCCACCGCATCATGCTAAGCATTGCTGCTATAGATGTATATCTGTTTCCACCAAGAATGATTCTCTTTCCACGATTTTGTAATTTAATTTTTGCAACTGGGCCGATTAATTAAAATTGAAGAGAAGAAATAACTGACGAGCAAAAATCGAAGTGAGGTTGAATAATTGCATTAAAAACTGTAATTTTAGTTGCAGTTGACAAATTTTTAGATATTCTTGAAAAAAAGTATAATTTTTTAGAAATCTTTTTTAAAGACTATAAAAGACTATAAATTATCCAATTGAAAACCAAGGTACTTAATTGTTGTGATGATTTCTATTTTGTCATTATCAATTTGAAGATTAATAGTTTTAGCCTTTGTCTTTCACTTTTAACAAACTTTAGTTTGTTGATCTTTAAATATTTATTAAAAAACTGCAATGCTGAATTCATTTTAGATACAGCATTTTCTAAGTTTGAATCAAAACATCACCGGATCAGAACCAAATCAGAAAATCACCGGGAACGGATGGTATACCCAATGAACTTTTAAAATATGGAGGCCCGGAACTTGCAAGTAAACTCGCACAACTAATTAACAAAATATTAAACAAAACAGAAACACCAGAGGAATGGCATAATAGTATCACAATCCCCATATTTAAAAAAGGACAAAAAACCTGCCCACAAAACTATAGAGGAATAACCCTCTTAAATACAACAATGAAACTTTTCACGGGTATTCTCAAGGACAAATTGGAAAAGCAAATCACCAATGCTGAAGAACAACAAGGTTTTACAGAAGGGCGGTCTATAACAGACGCAGTATTTATAATAAAACAAATAAAAGAAAAAGCTATAGAGTTCGGCATGCCAGCGTATATTTGCTTCATTGATTTGACGAAGGCATTTGACAGAATTCGCCTGGGAGACATTCTAAATATATTAATAGAAAATGAAACACCGACCAGTATAACAAAGATACTCCATAAACTAAATAACAAGAAAGTAACCAAAGTTAGAGCAGGAGACGAATTCACTGAAAATATTCCAACACCGGGAGGAATTAGACAACGCGACAGTTTAAGCCCCTTCTTGTTTAATCTTCTCATGGGCAAAATTATCAACAAAGTAACATCTCTTAATCTCGGATATAGAATGGGCAACACAAGAATTGGTATGGTGTGTTACGCAGACGATGCAGCAATTATTGCCGAATCAGAAGATGATCTCCAAAGGCAGCTCTTTCAGTTCTTTCAAACAAACCGACTACTAAATATGAACATCTCTACCAACAAAACTAAATGTATGACAATAGCAAAATATCCGCTCAGATATAAGTTAGTGGTTGAGGACAACCCCATAGAACAGGTGATGCAATTAAGATATCTGGGCATAGATATATCAAGCACCCACGACCCAGTAAAGGACCTGAGGAGTCAGATCAACAAAGCATCTGCACTGTCAGGATGTCTGCGGGAGATAGTCTGGTCAAATCCGTATATGCGCACAGATAGTAAAACTAGAATCTATAAGACTTGCATACGACCGATCATGGCATATGGCATAGAAGTGCGCGAAGATACTAACAAAACGAAACAGATGCTAAGGGTTGCCGAAATGAAAACCCTAATAACAATAATGGGGAAAACAAGAAGAGACAGAGCGAGAAATACAAACATTAGAGAGCAGTGCAAAATTCAAGATATTGTAAGGATTGTAATGGATGAGAATAGACTCCCAAAAATTGCCCTAGAAAACAATCCGCCCGGTTCAAGACCCCCCGGAAGACCACCTAAAAGATGGAGGGATAGTTGGCAATCTACCTCCCAAGAAATTAACCAGAGGCAGCTTCAGAATTAAACAGATCGAAAGATCTACAAAAAGTAGAAGAAGAAGAAGAATCAAAACATGCAAGTAGGGTGTCATCTGCATACAAATTAAAGAAATCACATTTAACAAACAAGTTTATATCATTTAAATACAATATAAACAAAGGGGGTCTTAAGACACTACCTTGAGGTACCCCAATATTAACACTAATTGCAGAAGAGGTAATATCGTCAATCCTCACTTGTTGCTTTATATCCAATAAGTAATCTTTAAACCATTCAAGAACATTTCTTCCAATACCTTAGCCTTCTAATTTAGTGAGAAGTACATTACAATCAATAGTTTCAAACGCTCTTTTTAAATCAAGAAATACTACTACTAAATAATTATCATTGTCCAATTCAGACCTGAATTTACAAAGTGAAAGTTGCAGTGAAGTTTCACATGAATACTTTTTACGAAAACCTGACTGAGTATTCATTAAAATTTCATTTTTATCAATGTGATCCATGAGTTGATCATATACTACCAATTCTAATAATTTCTCAATGGGCGGAAGTATATTTATAGGTCTAAATTCATCCCTCTTAATAGTATTATTAACTTTTGGTATTGGAACAACTGTAATGATTTTTAATAAATCTGGAATTTTTGATGATCTAAGAAAAGTATTTATAAAATTTAAGATAACGTAACCACAAGTTATAAAAAACTCTTTTAATATTTTGAAGTTTAGTATTTCATTAATGTTACTCCTATTATCTAACGACGTAACCATGACTGCCAAGTTACTCAGTGACAGTAGCCGAAATTCATGTATACTAGGATACAAATTATGATTATCATAACTCCATAGTTCTTCAGAGTCGATAGTTTCAACAATTTGTTGAATACTAGAGACGAAATACTCACCAAACTGATGCACCATTTCAACGTTGTCACTCAGAATGTATAACTGATTCTGAACCTTAAATTCAATGAGATAAGGGAATTTTTGACAATTATTGTTAATTAGTGTTTTTAGAGTTTTCCAAATAAGTCTAAAGTTATTTTTATACTTACCGATTTTATCAAAATAATATTGTTCTTTTTTTGCTTTTAACATATTAACTACCACATTTCTTGCTCTTTTAAAATCCTCCCATTTGGCATTTCTATCATTTATGTTAGCAGTTTTAAAATATTTGTATAATTTGTCCCTAATTTCAATTTTACTATTAACTTCATTAACAAACCATGGGATGTTACTTTTGATCTGACATGTTTGAATAGGTGCTATTTTATTTATGACAGACTGATAAAATTTCATTGTAAATAGTATTGACATCAGTACAATCTAAATCCCAATCAAAAGAAAGTAAATTCATTTGGATTTGATATATTTTTTCTTCGTTAAGACATCTGTAACGTTTACTAGAGAAATTAAAATTTTGAAAGCTATTACTAAAATTGACCGATATTATTGAATGATCACTCAACTTGGGAGTTGAATGAACAAAACAACTAACCAGATCATTATTAACAAGAAAATAATCAATTAAGGTTTCATTAAAATTCGTAATTCTAGTAGGTTCCGTTACTAACTGCTTAATGCCACATTGTAATAACATTGCTTTAATTTTCTGGGTGTAGAAGCTAGTACTTAAAAAATCCAAATTAAAATCACCAATTAAAATACAATTAACATTACTTTTAAATATTTCATCAAAAATATGCTCTGAGTTATCTAAAAATACTGCATCAGAACTAAAAGGTGAATGATACATGCCACCTAAAACAATGTTGTAAGAACCAATATCTACTTTAATAAATCTACACCAAAAATTATCTTCTTTAACAAAAGTTTTAGCGGCAGTACACTTAAGGTTATCCTGAACTGGCCTGTGACGGTCAGTTAAAGAAAAAGAAGACTCATTTGTAAACAAGATTTTTTCATGAAATCTTGTGTGCTTGTTTCTTTTTAAAATATTTCGTACAGTTCTCGTACTAATATCAGTTTCTCTTGAAATTGGAGTGCTGTTACAAGAAAAATTGATTTCAGCTAGACTACATACAGCAATTTCACGCTGTTCCTGTTCTTCATTAATTGTACGAGCTTGTTGATTTTCATCTTCACCACTATGTTGTAAATTGTAGATTTTGTTGGTACAGAGCCTTCGTATATCAGAAAGCAAGCTAATTAAGCGTGCTGTATGCAGTTTTTAGATTACCACTACTGCATAAAGGACATGAGTTTCTTTGAATACAATTTGGTGGTTGTCTTGTATATTATCCGCACTGACCATGAAAGCTTTTATTCGGTCAAACCAGTACGTACACTACGTTTTGCTGTTCCCTTATATACAGACCGAAACTACTGGGAATGCGGTAAGTTCCTGAAGTTGAGTACGGTTCTCTTGGATATTTTGTGTAACTTTATTTTAACTTTTTTTCTGTTAAAGATAGACTTACAACCTTCTCTTTTAATCTAAACGTTCTATCTCTACAGCTTTTTCTAGATGTTTCAATATGTCTCCCAAATATTCAGATTCATCTATTCGGCTAGCACTATCAGTTGGTTTTTATGACATCTCACTGTTTAATTTTGGGCGATGATTCGAGTTGTTCAAATTTAATAACGGTTCGTGCATATTGGTTTTCAGTATAATCGAAATGTCCAAAATATTAGTTCAACCAAAACTAAATGTGATCTTTTGCACAAATATGTTTAAGAAAATTGTAAGCTCACCTTTTCCATGGCTCCAGATCACAAAAGTGTCATAAACATAAGAAGCCAACACAGTGGTTTTTTAATTGCTGGTTATAACTCTTGTTGTTCAAATATTCCCGTGCTTAACGCACTTCTCATTCCACGGTCCTCTGAAAATATGTTGTGGAGAACTGTCCTCAGAAAGTTTTCCACAACATATTTTATATATTTAAATAAATTAAATCAAACCAGGCATTAACAAAGTACTACACTTTTATTAGAATTTAACAAAATAACTAAACAATTAACTAAAAAAGTAAACAGATTTTAATACTTGATTAATGTCAAAATCTCCTGTTTTGGGCAATTGTCGTAACACTCTGTTTAATTTCTTCTTAGTAAGATCAACCACAGATCCGTCATCAGTAAAATCACTAAAAGTAAAAAAATATAAAGGAGATTTGTATTATGAACCCAAATTTAATATAAATCTTACCTTTGTCCGTAACTAAACTTTTCCCATAAAAAATTCGAAAGGTCTTCTAAGATTGGTTCGGAATGAAGCGCAACAAATTGTTCCCTGCAGATCTAAAAATAAAAACATGTCATATCGTTATTGTTAAAAATATACTAAACCAGTAGGTGATCTCAGCTTTAAATTTAGTTTTAACTGTACCTTTATTTTTAATTTTTTAGTAAACGATACCATACCTTATTCATGATATGTACAGTTGACGGATGTGTCCAATAGCAGTCATGAACGGAGACAAAAGTAATACCAGCTCGTTCACAATGAAGGGATGTTAACATCATATGACTAGAATCCAATGAATGGATAAAATTAGGTGGAAAAGCGTTCTTCTGCTTCATCACATTTGGTTTTCTGCAAACAAAAATTAATTACATAAATAAGTAAGTATGGTTTTCGAATAAAGATACTAAACCTAAATCGTAACGTTTAAAATAAAATCAAAAATAGCTATTAACTAAATAAAACCAATGTGTAACTTTATAGTTTATTCGTCTTCCGGGTTTGGACTGTGTCATTTGTGAGTGACCCAAAAGTGGGTTCATCTCGACGTTTCGCTACAATTGTATGTAGCTTCTTCAGGAGAACAAAGAAAAAGAAATCAAAAGACAGGAAGATGGGTAGTTAGCAACGGTAACTCAGTTACTCAACGCAACCAGAGGCGAATACTAACTACCAAGATGGGCATTTGGTCACAGTAACTCAACTACTCAACGCAGCCAGAGGTGAAAACCAAATACCAGGACAGGGATTCACGTCCAACAGCTCAGAACACTAACGCGTCGAGAGGCGGGGAGTGAATCCGACGATTACTCCGCTACCGCTCTATTTATAGTCGCGGTGACCTGTCGTGTCGGGACGTATCGGCACACTCCGTGGCGCGAACGTCAAGAAGCGCGCGCTGGCCAATCATGTGGCTGCATGGTCGTAGCGGGACCGGACGGCGGCTCTAGACTGAGATTCCAGATGGGAGACAAGTAGTATCCTTGCTCTCGATTCATATTATGTGGATTTTTTCGGATCGCTAGAGATTCGCGGATTTTCCTGGAATAAAAGAAGGGGCTCTTAGAAATAATATGGGTTTTTTCGAACAATATGGAATGACCGGTTTCTTGGCAGTGTTCTGCAACTGCAGAATGGGAGAAAAGACCTGATCGAATGCATCTTTGATGCTCTTGAATCCGAGTTTTGACGGAACGACCAGTTTCGCCAATATACACATGTCCACATGAACAAGGAATAGAATAGACACCACAGGAAGATAGGGGCGGTAATGGGTCCTTAGGAGAGGGTAGATATTGTGAGATTTTCTTGGGTGGTCGAAAAGTAATCCTGATACCTTCTTTGCGAAGAATTTTGCCAATCCTATCAGTGACACTTCGAATATACGGAAGAAAAGCCACAGGGGTACTACCCGAAGATTCTGAATTTGTCGTCCTAGGGTGTAAAGGGGGATGTAGATGTCGGTGTGTAATATTTTGAATTATGGACTTGGAGTAACCGTTGGCGACAAGATGGCGACAAGATGGCCAAGTTCTTCTCTAAGGTTGTCAGGTTCAGAAATCGAAATGGCCCGATGGATGAGAGAGCTGATCACAGAATTCTTTTGAGCAGGATGGTGGTGTGATGAAGCATGTAGGTAACGATTCGTGTGAGTCTTTTTTCTATAAACAGAGTGACCCAATCGGCCATTGAGCTTGGAGGTGACTAACACATCGAGAAAGGGAAGGGACCGATTATTTTCTACTTCCATTGTGAATTTTATACTCGGATGTTGTGAGTTAAGATGATCTAGGAAGGGAGAAAGGGTATGTTGACCATGGGGACAGATGATAAATGTATCATCAACGTAGCGGAACCAGACTTTTGGTTTTAAGGGGTAAGATTATAGGGCTAAAGACATAATATCAATCGAGAGAAAGGATACTACTTGTCTCCCATCTGGAATCTCAGTCTAGAGCCGCCGTCCGGTCTCGCTACCACGATGCAGCCACATAATTGGCCAGCGCGCGCTTCTTGACGTTCGCGCCACGGAGTGTGCCGATACGTTCCGACACGACAGGTCACCGCGACTATAAATAGAGCGGTAGCGGAGTAATCGTCGGATTCACTCCCCGCCTCTCGACGCGTTAGTGTTCTGAGCTGTTGTACGTGAATCCCTGTCCTGGCATTTGGTTTTCACCTCTGGCTGCGTTGAGTAGTTGAGTTACTGTGACCAAATGCCCATCTTGGTAGTTAGTATTCGCCTCTGGTTGCGTTGAGTAACTGAGTTACCGTTGCTAACTACCCATCTTCCTGTCTTTTGATTTCTTTTTCTTTGTTCTCCTGAAGAAGCAACATACAATTGTAGCGAAACGTCGAGATGAACCCACTTTTGGGTCACTCACAAATGACAGTCCAAACCCGGAAGACGAATAAACTATAATTCTGACTCTGGCCGTGGAAGCCTACGATTTCAATGTGTAACTTGCATAATTGTTTATTGTCTTTTTTAACTTGGATCTTCATATGCGCGCTTGAGAGAAGTGTACTTATAGTTTTAAAGATCTTCCGACCTATGTGACACTTTTTATTTTATTATCTTTTACGATCCACCCTTTGAGTTTTGTGGTACTCTCCGATATTATAGTTTCGTTTCCTAATTAAAAGTCCAGCATAAACAATTTATGCTGTTACCAGTCACAGTCTCACAAGCTATTACTTTGCAGTGCTGACATTCACCTATATATTTTATTTTCTTGTCGTGAAATAGTCGATTTGAGAATGATTTTGTCCACTTGTGTATGTGATAAGTTGATTTTTTCTAGCCCTCCATATATTGCATCATGTCCTCTGTTAGATTGGCCTACACGTGCAATAGAATCACCTCCTACTACGACACTATAGTCTGATTAAATGTTTTTAAGTATGTTTCTTATTTGATCATTGATTGTATTGATTTTACGACTGACACTGACAGCAAACTCATGCCATTTCCTATTATAACGGAAGTGAACTGCAACATCGTTATTTTAAATAGAACATCCAATACATTATTGCATTTTTAGATTCTGCATAAAATTCTAGAAAATTTGATGAGGTACCATAGGCAAAAATTCCGTATTTTTGAGTTATCCGTCTTTTTTCAAAAATATTGGCAGATTGAGACAGTATTTTCAAGGTTATTATCTCATCCATTTACAAATTTTCTTCAAAACCTTCCCATAAAAAGAGTAGATAACGGTCTTTGAGGACTTTTATGGAAATTGAATTTCTAAATACAACAGTATTCACTAATGATACGTCACATCTTTAAAATTCAAACCACGGTGAGTCAATGATTACAAAAAAAACCTGTATTTTATAATTTTAAGAATAATTTTACAGGTTCTGACAGAAACAAAAGCTTGTAGTGAAAAAATGGTAACTTACTCATATTTGTCCATAATATAATTGTCATAACTAGTGGATGAGCTCGTGGATATTTTTCTGTACTTAAAATATGGCTGTACAATAGGTAAACCTAGGGGTGTAACCCATTCGACGTGCTGAGACCCAACTGATGATATGAGTCTTGCACATTCCGTGAACCAGTCTTGAATTTCTCTCGTTGATGTAAACATCGTTCTTAAAGAATCGAAAGTTCTGCCTAAAAAATATACAATGGTTATAAAATAGTGTTACTTTATGCTTGTGAAACTATAACCTTGAAAATAGATAATCGAGGACAATAAGAAGCAAATAAAACAGTTAATATTTCTGATACAAATTTGTAACATTGTTATAATATTGTTACGTTACTCTGTGGGTTCGAAGTGGTTTACCTTAACTTATACAGGTAAAATACAAATATAAATATTATAATTACTAATTATTAGACTTATGCAAATTATGCATAAAAATGCAAGAATGTCAAATATTTTGCATATTTTTCTAAAAGTGTGTATAACTTTAAATTTTGGTGGTAACTATAGATATTCATGTAATAAATCAACAAATAGTTCCGAATAGATCCGAATAGCAACGAATAAATCCCAATATTTAATTTTGTTTCAATATCTATATCCCAATTTTTGTTATCGTACTGTAATAACTAATAAAAGATAAGAGGCTTATAGTTTTGTCCTAGAATATAGGGGTTACAAAATCTGACAGTTAAATCTATGTAAAAATTTTTATTTTGACAAATATCAAAAATTTGAATTTTAGAAATCACTTTTGTTGAAAATTGAAACTGTGTCTTTGTAATTATTGTGAACTATGATTTAAAAATGCCGAAAATAAACAGTGCTTTAACTTGAATAAAACGTTAGAGCTATCCATAGATGTGGAAAAAGTTTACTGCGCAATTACGTGCTGACAAAAGGGTACTTCGCAATAAATCGGTGTATTTAAGCATTTTTTTAATTTCTGGTGATGAAAAAATTGAAGAATTTCCTGAAAGATTGCTTAACATTTTTTTCTCGAACATTAGCGTTAGTTTGTATTTATTTGGCTAGAAACAAAAATATAACATGTAACTGGCCTGATTATGTAGCGGAAGTTTGGGAAACGTACTGACAAAAGCTATGTAAGAATGAGTCGAAGATACATTAGGAAATTAGTAGGAAAACTCGCAGCGGAATTATAATGCCATGATATAGTACCATAAATTTTCACTTTGATCTTTTCATAATGGACTAAGGATTACAGTACTTGTAAAATTCTATCTCGATTCCAGCAAAGCCCCAAGGACAAATATCAACAACAGGTTGACATGCAAGTAGTTCGAGGAAACCCATCAACAACATTTATAAAATTATAAAAAATGAATAAATTAGTAGAAGAATTGGTGTATTTGGTAAAATATTTATGGGGATGGGTAGTATTACTCGTTAATTATTGCCTCAAATCAGAAAAACTGAAAAACTTACAATTTTTACTCATTTACTCATTAGTTATTGTTTCATATACAATCTATTTCGTATTCACCTCTAATATATAGTAATTTTTTATTTTTGTTGATAATTTGGAACAATTTTTAAGGCAAACCTTACAAAGAAAATTATTGGTGATTACCTGTAAGGTATGAAGATGCCGCCCAGACATGTTCCTTTGGAAATTTATCAATATCTTTTAACTGTCTAGCAATTTGAAGTCTAGCACCGTATCGAGTGACGCCATATACTGTTGTCATGATGGTCTGCTTAATGACCTTTCTTTTAATAAAACCTTCTAGAACTTTGGCAATCTGAAAAAAATATGTAATTAGTTGTGGCATGGCCTTAAGATAAACAGCTGGTTGATTGCCTACTTCGTTGTATATTGAGTACAAATTTTATCATCTTGATCTTTATTTCTTTATTCTGGATGGGGAGGAAAAAGGTTTAAACATTGATGGTGTGCGTAATAATCATTTTTAGTATTATTTCGTACATACAAAATCGGTAAAGAAATCCAGATAAGTGAAATTAAAAGACGCATAAAATTATCTTGGGTGGCCATTGACACGTTAAACTATATTTTGATGAACAAATATGTAAAACCAATGTGTCTAAAGCATATATGAGAATTGTATCTTACCAGTGACTAGTCACGGCCTTAAGAGCATGGCCTTTACAAAGAAAGCTTTAGAACAGCTCCGTACAACTCAAACAGCGATGGAGAGAGACATCCTCGGGATCAATTTAAGAGGCAGGATGTAGAATACCGACATTCATGACAGAATAAAGATTACTGATGTGGAACGTATAGCGAGGTTCAAGTGGCAATGAAAAAAAGGACCACAGAGAATAACAAACTGGAGACCAAAAGAGAACAGGAGAGAAGTGAGCAGACCGCAGAAGAGATAGACGGATGATGATCAAATATATCGTGGGCAAGCAATGGATTCCGCTCAAATTATGGTACCAATGATCACCTCCACACAGTAAAAACACTCATTGAAAAATCTATAGAATATAACAAACCTCTTGTTCTCACTTTCATAGATTTTCATAAAGCGTTCGACGCGATCGAATTAGACAGCCTTATAGAAGCAATGAATGACAGCAGGATTGACCATAGGTATAGTGAGCTTATTTATAATATTTACAAAAATGCCACTATGACTGTTAAAATAGACAATAAAACCCGACCAATAAAAATAAATCGTGGAATAAGGCAAGGAGATACATTATCGCCGAAATTATTCATAACGGCATTAGAATATGCCTTTAAGATGATCAAAGGGGACCACAGAGGAGTAACGATAGACGGCGAAAAGCTTAACCATCTCCGTTTCGCAGATGACATTGTCCTTATCACAGATAATTTAGGAGAAGCTACAGATATGATAAACGAATTGGATTTTGCATGTTCGAAGGTGGGCCTGAGAATGAACTTGACCAAAACTAAGTTTATGACAAATTTGGTCCCCAATAACCATTTGACTATTCAAGACAAAGTGGTAGAACTGGTGGAGAAATATACGTATTTGGGTCATGAAATAAGAATCAGCAGGGATAACCAAACATGTGAGATCCAAAGACGAATTACTTTAACATGGGCAGCCTTTGGAAAACTGCGAGACACACTTAGGGCCAACATACCAATCAGCCTCAAAAGAAAAGTGTTTGACCAATGCGTATTACCGGTCATGACCTATGGGGCGGAAACTATGACTTTAACCAAGACCACGGCTTCGAAACTGAGAGTGGCACAGAGACGAATGGAACGGTCTATGCTGGGAGTGACGTTGAGGGACCGAATAAGAAACGAAGATCTGCAAAGAAGGACGAGTATTACTGATGTTGTGGAACGCATAGCGGAACTAAAATGGAACTGGGCAGGCCATGTAGCGAGAATGCACGATTCACGATGGACGAACAAAATTACAAATTGGAGGCCAAGAGCAGACAAACGCAGTAGAGGAAGACCACCTACACGCTGGGCCGACGACATCAGGCGTATCACTAAAAATTGGCAACAAAGAGCACAAACTCGTGAGGAATGGAGGAGTTTAAGGGAGGCCTATGTCCAGCAGTGGACGTGATAAATAGAGGCTGGATGATGATGATGATGATGATGAAGCAATGGATGCGAATTGCTAAAAGTAGACATTAATAGAAACATATGGAGGAGGCCTCAGCGGACGAACATGGGCTAAAAAGGAAGAATAATTTGGGTATAAAGCTGGATGTAACTACAATGACAAAAATATATTTAAAGGTGATTTTTTATAGTTGTAAGCTTAATTTACCCTAATATCTGGAACATCATTCTGATGGTATATATGTTTACAACACTGATTGTATTGTATGGTTGAGATTTTAATATCAACAATTTAAATAATGTTGTAGTAGTTGTAAATAACGTTTTTACTAAATACAGCTATTATTTACAGTGTAATCTACCTGTAACTGGTCACAATGTTGTTTGTTTTAAATTAAATATTTTGTATAGTTATTTTTAACGAGAGCATATTAGTAAAATTTAAAGCAAGTTACAAAATAAATAGCACAAATTGATATATTTTAAAAAATAGTGTATCTCTTCAGAAAATTTAAGGTGACTCCAATGGTCTCTGTTTGTTTTTAGACCGTTTTCTAATCTATTGATTAAATAGCTCTTCACCCTGAACAGTTTTATAACTTTTGAAATTTAAAGAAGTTGTAGACAAAATTCGACAACTTGTTTATCTTATACTTTTGACGTATCACATTTATTGCACCATATATAATATTTTAAAACACATGTTTCAGGGTATCGGTAGGAATAATCTATCAAATAATTGAATATCTTCTGAATAAAAACAGTGATAAAAATTAATCACCACCTCTTTTTTTGTTCATACAAGATTTCCCTTTTGCTTCCATTTTTTTTTATCTGTATTTAAGAGAGAAAGGCTATCTGATATTCTTCTAAAGATCATATGTAGCTTTTCTATATATTTTTGATGTTCATCTAACTTCGCGAAGGCCTCCTCCAAATTACAGAATTTTACAAAACAATTTTATGCGTTGGAGACCGGCCCTGGCAAGGTACGGTTAAGTTGTATCGATATCGTACTCTTAGTTTTTAATAAAAACAAGTGGTTTTATTAAATAGTTTTTTAAAATTAAAGTGTTTATCTACTAGACATTACTACGTAAGTCATCTATACGTAATTATTATTTTATTATTGTGAAAAGAAAAGTCAAATAATAAATATAAACTACCGTACAATCATTTTGTGAGGTTAGCTGCTATAAGTAGCTTATAGTAGCATGCGACTGGTTTTTCACTTACCAGTGTAGGAGTAAGGCCTTCGCCACCGCACGTTAAAATGACTTCACACAATGTAAACACACCTTCCGATCTAACCAGTCCAGTAAATCAACGATTGAATATTACAAACAGTTATGCTTCAGCCGCTTCACATTCTTTTCCGAGTAAGAACCAAGCAATTGTATTTAGTTGTATCGATAATGCTAAACTGCAGGATTATCTCATTCCTTTGGGCACAATCATCAACCCAAAAAATATTATTTTTTCATCTAGATTATCTCATAATAGAATCTGCATGTATTTGGCAAACAAGTCCATAGTAGATAACTTCATGACACAATATGGCTCTATAGAAGTACTCGGCGAAGTGGTAACAGCAAGAAGACTTGTCTCTCCAGCAGAAAGACTAGTCTTGTCTGGAGTCTGCCCGTCAATTCCCCATCAAGTATTAGCTGAAGAATTACAGAATATCGGTTTAAAGCTTATTTCTCCAATAACATTTCTGAAAATTAGTTCGACCCTTCCCAAATATAGTCACATATTGAGCTTTCGGAGGCAAGTTTATATAAGCCCTATAACATCACCAATTCCAGATTCTATTCTAATAAATTTCGACCAAACACCTTACCGCATATTTTTGTCACAAGGTACACTCACCTGCTTTATTTGCAAAAATCCAGGGCACATATCATCCCAATGCAAAAACAGTTCAATAACGGAATCAACTCATATTGAGTCAAACAATGAAGTACCAAATCAAACAGCGTCAACAAGTATACTACACAACGTACCAAACACCCAGCAGTCATCAAGTTATCCATTATCAAATCCGAGCATATCACCTACACCTACAAATCTCCATGACAAAGAAATTACTAATACTCCTACTCATAGCAACACTTTTAATCAACCTCATTCAGCGGCAATACCGTTTTCACAAGCTTCGGAAGCAATATTTTCCAATGTATCAGCTCCTTTTCCATTAGATGCAACTGCAGAAAATTCTAATAAAACTGATACATCATCACAATTTTTTGAAACAACCATTTCAACCAATCTTACAAATAAAACTTCAAGCTCGACTTCTGTCACTACCAATGAATCTGCTCCAGTACTTCCAAATGTAATAAAGCCACAACATCTACGTGAAAACTCTAATAGCAATTGCGAAAACGCAACTTCTTCCATAAAACGCAGTATTGGTGAAATCGACACGCCTCCTTCAGACTCAGCAATTTCATCAGAAAATCTGTTTGCAAAACCCAAACCCTCTAAACAAAAAAAACCGCGCTCATCTCAAGTTCCATCTACACGGGAAACTCTTGAAAATTTCATTGATAATCATACCCCACCATTCGTTTTAAATTTCCACCAATTGTCCTTATTGATTGATAATGTCCAAGGCTCCCCCGACACTATTAGCGTCGTTAAAGAATTCACAACTGATATGGCTGGTTTAATCCATCTTTTAAAAAGCAGCTATCAATATGCAAATGATAGATCTACAAAAAGCAAGTTTACAAAACTTCAAAAAAAACTAATCAACCATTTAGGGAAAGAGACTTCTGACTTAGATAGTGACTCTTCTGTAGACAATTGTTCAGTATCATCTAACTCCGAATCTGTTAACAGCATTCAACTCAATACTTCAATGGAACATTGATGGTTTTTTCCATCGCCTCCCTATGCTACAGCTTCTTTTATCTGAATATTCTCCAGATATTATTTGTCTACAGGAGACAAACTTAAAGACCAATCAGTTGTACAATTCAAAAAATTTTACTTGTTTCCGCAAAGACCGTACAAATGCAAGTCGTGCAAGCGGTGGTGTAGCAATACTAGTAAACAAATCCATCGAGGCGATACAAATTCCAATAGTCAGTGATTTGGAGGCCGTTGCTATCAGAATCATATCTACCAGTTTAGTATCTATTTGCAATGTTTACCTTCCTTGTGACAAACAAGTAAGTTCTGATAGCCTTTGCAGGTTATTAGAGCAACTGCCACGTCCTCGTATAATTCTAGGCGACTTTAATGCTCACAACATAATATGGGGTTCAGATCACACGTCTGTCAGAGGTTCAAGTATTGCCGATATCTTAGATCAACTTAATATAAATTTTCTTAATGATGGTAGCCCTACAAGATTCAATATTTCAACAGGATATTCCTCATGCATTGATTTAACTCTCTGCGACCCAAATTTAGCTCATTGCCTCAGTTGGGATGCTCAAACCTATACATATGGTAGTGACCATTTTCCAATCCTAATTAGAAACCATAATTATCCCTCATCAGGACCCATTTTCATATCTAAGTGGAGAATAAAAAATGCAAATTGGCAAAAGTTCTCCCAATATATCGATAATAACATTTCCAGTTTGCATATAACAGACGATGTTAACTCGAAAGTAGAGCAGTTTAATCAACTTATCTTAAGCGCCGCCCACAAATTTATTGGTAAATCTAAATCCGTTAAAGGCCGATGTCCTGTACCATGGTGGAATGACCGTTGTGCGACAGCAATCCGTGAAAGTAAATCAGCCCTAAACCGATACAAAAAACATAAAACATCCGAAAATAAATTAAAATTCAAAATGCTTAAAGCAAGGGCACAGCTAACTGTCAAAACGGCTAAAAAATATTCATGGAACAAATACGTATCGGAAATTAATAGCAATACCCCCCTCTCTGATGTCTGGAACAAAGTAAGGAAAATTTCTGGTTTACATACTTCATATAATTTCACGGGGCTAAAAGAAAATAATAATTTCATAACATCGAGCAGCGATATTGCAAACATTTTTGGAAGAATCTATCAAAGCCACTCATCGAATCAACAGTATACCACCAATTTTCTCAAAGCCAAAGAATTCGCCGAACAAAATCCTATTTATCTGTTTGAAGCACAAAATAATTCATTAAACCATCCCATCACTTTCCAAGAGATAAACTCATCTATTCTTAACTTGAAGGACTCTAGTCCTGGGCCTGATGATATTCCTTCAACATTTCTGAAACATCTCCCTGTTTCAGCCATAACGTATCTCTTAAACGTATTCAACAGAATTTGGCTTCACCACCAATGGCCAGCTATTTGGTCAAATGCAATAGTCATTCCTCTCCTAAAATCTAATAAACCTAAATATGACCCAGAATCCTATCGACCCATATCTCTCACATCGACAACCTGCAAATTACTAGAAAATATTGTTAACTCCAGACTCTCATGGGTTTTAGAAAATTCCAATTTCTTAATCTCAGAGCAAAATGGCTTTAGAAAAGATCGTTCATCCACAGACAACATTTTAGATTTAGAAAGTGAAATACATGAAGCTCTTGCTACAAACCAAAAATGTGTTGCTATATTTTTTGACTTAGAACGTGCATTTAATAAAGCTTGGAAATACAACATTTTAAGACAACTTTATAAATGGAATATTCAAGGTCACTGCCTTGCTTTCATCCAAAACTTTTTAAATAATAGATCTTTTCAAGTAAAAATAAATAATATCTCTTCAAATATTTATAGTTTGGAAAATGGTACACCCCAAGGATCCATACTCAGTCCAACACTATTTCTGGTAGCAATAAACGACATCATTAAAAACATTCAAGCACCCTTACAGGCTCGTTTATACGCTGATGACCTAGTGGTATCTATTAAAGGTAAAAATATTTCCTCAATATCATCAATTCTTCAAAACTTTTTAGATACTCTCGAAAATTGGTCCAACTTCACAGGTTTTCAATTTTCAATAGAAAAATCAATAGGGGTCGTATTCTCTTCAAGCTCCCTGCCACAACCTCCTAACCTAAGAATGTATGAGAAACAGCTGGAGTTTAGAGATCACCACAAATTCTTGGGTTTAATCTTCGATTCAAAGTTAACATGGAAAAATCACATCTCACAACTCATCCTTTCCTGTAATAAAAGAATAAACGTGTTAAGATCTCTCTGTAATAAAAACTGGGGCTCAGACCAATCCACTCTACTCCTCCTGTATAAATCTTTAATACGTTCTAAGCTAGATTATGGAGCAATTGCCTATTCCACTGCTAATAAATCTCTACTGAAATCATTAGATATTATTCATAATAAAAGTCTTAGACTAATCTTAGGGGTTTTCCCAACTACACCTGTATCCAGCATTTATGCTCTTTTAGGAGAACCATCGCTACATCACCGCCGCATGTACCTCGCTCTATCACATGCAGCCTCAGTCGCTGGAAATATTTCAAAGCCAATATATCAAAATACTTTTACAAATAAATATGTAAACGTATTCCAAGATATTCGCTATACTAAAAAACCATATTATGAAAGAATTAAATCCATTCTTCAAAACCTAAACATTAATTTTCCGGAGGTTTTCTCCTCAGATATTAAATACCCCGAGCCTTGGCTGATCGATATACCAACTTGTGACGCATCTCTAGAGTATATAGATAAATCTAATACACATCATTCTCTGATTCGGTCCAAGTTTAAGACCCTCATATATAAGTACCCCGACTACCATAAAATCTACACAGATGCATCTAAATCCGAAGACGGAGTGGGGGCATCAATCGTTTCTTCAGAAAACAATCTTCTTTTCCGTTTACCCTCAGCATGTAGCACATATTCAGCTGAACTCTACGCCATATACCGTGCTGTGAAACTTCTTAACGAGCTTACACTCACTAAAGCCCTTATCATAACAGATTCCCTTAGCTCTCTAAACTCATTAAAACACATTTTTCCGAAACATCCTTTTGAAAAGTTGCTAAAATACCAGCTTTCCCAAGCTCATGAACATGGAAGAAGCGTCCAATTTTTATGGGTTCCCTCACACGTTGGAATAACAGGAAATGAAGAAGCTGACAGGATTGCACGAGAGGCTATTTTAAGTGATTTGTCGGAGCCGATAGACAAGTGTGTTTCCAGTGACTTAAAAGCTTATTTTAAAAATAAAGTGTTGTGTTTGTGGCAAAATGAGTGGTCTCGAACTAATTCCAATCTAAATAAAATTAAAAATAATGTGTCTCAGTGGTTTCCATCGTCGCGCAATAGACGGGAACAAATTGCGGTTGCGCGTTTACGTCTAGGACATACCAGATTAACGCATTCCTACCTTTTCACAAAGAATAATCCACCTATATGTGATCAGTGTAACGTCCGATTAACAGTCGAACACTTTTTAATAATTTGTAGTAAATATGACCAAGAAAGACAGCGCTACAAGATCCCAAACGCTCTACCACAGGCTCTAGGTCAAAACTGTTCCTATGAAAATATAGTGAATTATCTTAAATCCATAAACATTTTGTACAATCTGTAGGTGTCTAACTTTGTTATTTATATTTTGTTCCGTCGCTAATAACCTTTTGGTGGATGCGACATCTTTTTCTAATAAAAAAAAAAAAAAAATTTTATGCGTTTCCTATTATCAATGTTCTTACACAATCATACAGTTATAAGGTTAAATTTTAAAACAACATAAATACATTGAATAATATCGTACCTCTAACCCATTTTCGGCATCACAAACCCTCTGCTGTTCAACCAATTTTACTACTGCGCTATAAACATCCTGAGGTTTCTCCGACGGAGCTAAATTTACACTGTAAGCTCCACTACTATCCCTTCCGAGAGCAGCATAATGTTGTAAACCATTACAACTACCGTCTTGATGAATTGGAAAATGACTTAAAAACTTTTCGGGTTCTGAAGAACGTACAATATCGGCGATTTCTATGCAACAGGAAAGAGTCTGCCACGGTTCATCCGATTGAGCCCACCAACGTCGACCTGTTAATGGTTTGTCAGCAGAATCAAGGATTTCTGGTAGTATGTCATTCGCATATTTTAACCTGAAATTTTTTGTGAATAAATATAGAGACATAAATAACGAGCACAACCCAATACAATTTTCTGACAAACCCTTCAAAATCAATTATTCTTCAAAAAACCCTTCAAAATTATAATACAGTATTGCCCCAAATAAACAGTACTAAAACTGAATTATAGATGTCTCTTTGTGCGCGCTGTCATATTCAAATTAACTGGGTTAGACTTGTCAAGTAAACCTTAAACACTTAATTATTATAGCCTAATTGTTAAAAACGGTGTTAAGTACAGAGGAGAAAGTGTTTCTTGTGGAGCATTATTTTCGCTCATGCGTAAATGGCCGACGTAATAGTGCAAGTCTGCAATACGTGTGTGATCAATTCACACAATGGTTTAATAAACGTTCTCCAAGTAATGTTGTAATTTTGAAGGTTGTTGAAAAGTTTAGAAATACGGGTAATGTATTGCGCCAACGAAAAGGAAACTCAGGGTGTCCCAGGACAGTTAACAACAACTATAACCATGAACTTGTTTTTGAGCGAATCTTGAAAAATCCGCAAGCCAGTCAGACAAGAACAGCATTGGATATTGGCTTAAAACGAAATTCCTTGCAAATAATCCTCAAGGAGCTGGATGCATTTCCGTATGTGAGTTATGTACATCAACAATTACATCCCAGGGATTATCACAATAGAATGGAAAATTGTACCAGAATTCTTGCATTACAGTATGAAATTCAATATCTTGTATTACAGTATGGAAATCATACAATGTATGGTTTTCAGACGAAGCACATTTTCATTTGTCAGGTCATGTAAATAGTCGCACAAATCGATTTCTGGGCTTTGCCAGACCAGATGAAGTTCAAGAAGTTCCTTTACATAGCGCAAAAGTGAGTGTATGGTGGGCAGTTTCGGGACATGGAATCATTGGTCTATACTTTATTGAAGAAAATGGTAGACAAGTCACACTTAATCAAAAGAGGTACATATATATTTTAACACGCTTTATTTCTGATTTGCGTCAATTTTATCGTGCGTGACTTCCACTATCCTGCAAATTCTCCAGACTTAATATCTTCAGACGCATACATTTAGAGTATGGCTAAAACTGCCGTTTTAAGACGGGCACTACAAACCATCAATGAGTTAAAGGATGCCGTTAGAGCCTTCTTCGCGGACTTGAGACAACCAATATAACGAGAAATCTGAAATAAATAGTCGGATAAATAATAATATCGGTATGAAGTCTGTCTTGAGAGAGAAGGAGCTCATTTAGAACATGTTATAAAGTGTCAGTCGGTCAGATAGCTCAGCGGGCTGTGCGGCTGCCTCTCATTCGCTTCACTGTCGAATGGTTTAGTGGATGTGGGTCGAGCCCCAGCTCGGTGTACAGAAAACAAAAAGTCTAACGCAGCAGTTTAAAATTCTAGATGAATCTGCGGCTTAGACTAGGATATGCTGGGTTCTGATCGGCCTATGGTGGAGCAGTACGGCAAGAGATAAGGGCTTGCGGGTCGGTGATACTCCTCCATAGATCCCTACCGGACAGGCGTAACGCCTAAAAAACCGGATATATATATATATATATATATATATATATATATATATATATATATATATATATAAAGTGTCAATAATATGTATTTTTTAAAACAATAAAATAATTACTTCAGTACTGTTTATTTTGGGCTATACTGTATTAATTACATACCACTATATTTATATTAGTAGACTCTAAAAAACCCGGGTTACTTTGTATCACCTACAAACCTACAATTAGGTCCTTTCGGAAGCCTACGAAGTCACGTTTAATATACAAATAAAATTAAATTTAAAACAATGTATTTATTTATAAAAAATAACAAGAAAATCCTTGAATATATAATAAATATTCAAAATGACCTCCGTCTAGGTTAATATATAATGGCCAGCGATCGTAAAAAGAGCGAATTGCACAAGTTAATACATTTCTTATTAAAATCCGTAAAATAGTTTCGAAACACAATTCAGATTTCTGCTTATAATCTGAGCCTTCTAAAAATTGCAAGACAAACAGGCGTTAATAAAAGATGTTAAAAGGGACATGACCTAATAGGTCTCATCAGAACAGTTATTCATAGGTGTTCTCAACGTGAAAAATCAACATTTTCTGTCTTTTAAGAAGCAACACTAAAATGGCTTCAATACGGACGCAATAGCCACATCTAATAATAAAATCCGTAAAATAGTTTCGAAATACAAAAAAAAAATATGTTAAAAGGGACATGGGAATCTAAAATTTGCATTCCACGACATGTCTTTACAACTAAGCAGAAATCCTTAGCGAATTGTGTCTCTCGTACACAGAGTATATCCGAATAAAATGAAAAAGACAGCAAATATTTGATTTCACGCAAACAGCGCCGATGTATCTGTTGATGCATATTTCGACCTAATAGGTCTCATTAGAACAGTTATTCATAGGTGTTCTCAACGTGAAAAATCAATATAAGCAGAAATCTGAATTGTGTTTTGAAACTATTTTACGGATTTTATTATTAGATGTCGCTATTGCGTCCGTATTGAAGCCATTTTAGTGTTGCTTCTTAAAAGACAGAAAATATTGATTTTTCACGTTGAGAACACCTATGAATAACTGTTCTGATGAGACCTATTAGGTCGAAATACGTATCAACAGATACATAGGCGCTGTTTGCGTGAAATCAAATATTTGCTGTCTTTTTCATTTTATTCGGATATACTCTGTGTGAGTACGAGAAACACAATTCGCTAAGGATTTCTGCTTAGTTGTAAAGACATGTCGTGGAATGCAAATTTTAGATTCCCCATGTCCCTTTTAACATCTTTTATCAACGCCTGTTTGCCTTGCAATTTTTAAAAGGCTCAGATTATAAGCAGAAATCTGAATTGTGTTTCGAAACTATTTTACGGATTTTATTATTAGATGTCGCTATTGCGTCCGTATTTAAGTCATTTTAGTGTTGCTTCGTAAAAGACAGAAAATATTGATTTTTCACGTTGAGAACACCTATGAATAACTGTTCTGATGAGACCTATTAGGTCGAAATACGTATCAACAGATACATAGGCGCTGTTTGCGTGAAATAAAATATTTGCTGTCTTTTTCACATTTCTTATTATTAAATTTCTTAGTAATTCATAATTTTGTTCTGGAACAGTCTATTGGATGCATCAATGTTTTAAATATATTTCGAAACATCAAATAATTATTTCACCATTTATGATTATTACCAAAAATATATTTAAAACATTGATGCATCCAATAAACTGTTCCAGAACAACATTATCAATTACTCTGAAAAAACATACATTTAATTTAGTTGCTTACCTTTCTTTAACAGAATCGTTCTTCTTCAATCCAGTCAAATTAATAAGATGAATTTTTATCCAATCAAGTCCATGAGGTCCGAGAGGTCGAGGTTCGGCAAAAATAAGCATAGATCGAGCCAGATCGGAACCTAAATGATTCAAATGTGGCGGTACGGGATAAACTCTTCCTCTGAAGTCCATATTATGAGGTAACCAAAAAATTGTATTACGAAACTAAAAAAAATTGTTTTATGAGAAAAAGATCTTGACGTAAAAAGGAACAAACGGCCTTAAATTGTATAAAATTGCTAAGAACCTTAATGCAAAAATTGGCAAAGAGCAATTTTTCCAGCTAACTATAGGATGTGAGAGCTTACATGAAGTGTAAAATGATAACGGGTTAAGACTAATAAACTTTGCAAGCACCAAAAACATGTTAGTAAGGGGAAAGAGATTTTCCCATAAAATAATACACAAAGGAACATGGAAATCACCTGATAACGAAATCGTTAACCAGATAGATCACACCCTAATACATGCAGGGCGTTCTTTTCACCTCTTGGATGTCAGAGGCTACCGAGATCCAAACATAGATAGTGACCACTTTCTTGTGATGGCAAAAAGCAGAGGAAGAATATCAAACCTAAAGAAGGATAAACATACGAAACACGACAGAATTAATGTTGATAATCTGCGCATTGAAACCGTTGCGAGAGAGTATAGGAGACAAGTGGATGATGAAATAGAGAGCCTGGAAGCGGGGGAAAACGTGGGGAAATTGTGGACAAAATGTATAAACAACTGAGAAGGCACGCAAATATTGGGGAAAACCAAACCAGTTAAACAAAACAAATGGTTTGACGAGGAGTGCCAAGAAGCAACATATAACAAAAATAAAGCATACCTAAAGACAAATCAAGCTAGATGCACAAGAGCAAAAGAGGAATACCGGACCCTAAGGAAGGAAGAAAAAAGATTACATAGAAAAAAAAAGAAATTTGAAGAAAAGGAGTTAGAAATCATATTGTGTATACGCTGAAATGTTGGTTATTAATGTTACAAAAACACGTTGGTTACTAATCCTATAGCAAATGAGGAACTGGAAACAGCATTTGGATGTCATATCTTTGAACGAGTTGACAGCTTCACATATATTGGCTCGCTAGTGACTACTACCAATAAAACAAGCGCAGAAATTAAAAGACGAATAAACCTTACAAATAGAGGATATTATCGACTCGATATCCAACGAAAAACTAAAATTATTATATACAAAACACTGCTGAGGCCCGTCCTCACATACGGGGCGGAAACATGGACTTTAACGCAGAAGTATTAAAGACTTCTGGGAATATTCGAGCGTAAGATACTCCGCAAAATATTTGGAGCTATAGTGAGGCAGTAGCGCAAAAGATTTAATTTCGAATTACACCAACTCTTTAATGAACCGTATAACATGATTGCTAAAAAGCTACAGGAACACCTAGAGGAAGAAGAAGCAGAGGCCGACCGGGAATTAGGTGGTTAGATAGAGTTGAGACCGGCTTAGGGATACTAGAGTTCAGAAGATGGCAATACGTTGCCAGAAACCGAAGCAGAGATAATAATGAACTTTGTTACGAATAAAAATATTTTTATAAAGTTTTCAATCATAGCTAGTGGTGCGGGGGGGCTGATAAAAAATTCTCCATTTTCGACTACCAAAAAGGCACGTAAGACCAGCTCAGCAAGCACAGACACTCGCGTAGAGCAAAGAGGCAAAAATTGGCTTAATCTTGATGTTCAGTATGCATAGGAACTGCTAAAGCACGGGCTATCGATACTTTTGCAGCATCGATAAGTTTTCAGCAAGAGGTACCTACTGAAAATTTATTTTATTAAATAAAAATATCTATTCTGAGAATTGTTTACCAGCTGATTTAAATTTAACAGTACGTTTACATGCGGAAGTATTGTTAAAATTATTAACTGATACACGTAAAGGTAGTTGCTCTCTCTTTCTAAGCATCACCAATTTGTTTCTCAATTGAAAAAGAGAAATTATCAATAAAAAGGTTGTCATTATTGTTAATAGATGATACATTTCTACAAATTCTCTATTATTTTATCAAAAGAAATATTTCATCATCAGTGGCATTACAGCTCGTCATGAGCCAAAGCCTTCTTCAGAACATTCTTCCATTCGCCCCTGTCTCCGGCAACTCTTCTCCATTGTTTAACTCCGATGGATTTTAGATCATCCTCTATGTTATGTTGATACCTAAGTTTTGGGCTTCCTCTGGATCGTCTTCCCACTGATCCTCTTCGGTCGAAAATTTTTCTGATCGTTGCATCTTTATCTCGCCTAATTACATGTCCTATCCATCGAAGGCGTGCTAATTTAATACATTTTACAACGTCAGGTTCCCCAAAACTTCTGTATAACTCAAAGTTGTAGCGCCTACGCCACATATCCTGTTCTTGGACTCCTCCATATATTTTCCTTAGAATTTTTCTCTCAAAACGTTTAAGCATTTCTGGGTCGTTCTGTGTAAGTGACCACGTTTCTGACCCGTAGGTTAACACTGGCCTTATTAGTGTTTTATATACGGTAATTTTAATTTTTCTGGGTAGTTTTGGGACCATCTGTTTTCTCACGCCATAATAGCACTTATTGGCAAGCACTATTCTGCTTTTAATTTCTTCGCTGACATTCTTGTCTTTGGTCAGCAGCGAGCCCAGGTAAACGAAGGTGTCCACAACTTCCAGTTCCAGATCATCAATTAATAGTCTAGGTATCTGGTTGCCTGATCTAGTACAATACATATACTTGGTTTTCTGTGCGTTTATTTTTAATCCCATTCTTAGTGCAGACGCCCTTAATGATCGAAATGCTTCGATCAGAGATTCTGTGGACCCAAAAGAAATATTTATGTACCTAAATTAGTCAAAATGCGCATAACCCTGTACTTTAGATACTTACATGATTCGCCAAAGATAATCTGTACAAACAATCACACCACAAGGAATACATTTCAGCTTTTTTCCGTCTATATTGCATTCTTTGTTTAAATAAATGGTATCTTTCGGTCTTATCCATTTCAGGAGTGGCAATTGGTGGTGGTATTAATGAAGACGTCGGTTCAGGAACATCTAAGCTTGACGATCCACCATTATTAAATACCTAAAAAGCATAACATACAAAATAATCTAGCCTTTTTTACTGGCATGTAAATTTGTAATTTTTAGATGCCTTTGATTCCGAAGAATAATTCTTTATGTGTCATATATTTTAACACCAAACGTATAATAAATTTTTAACACAAAAATTTTACTTTTTGTTACAGAGAACAGTATATCCGAAGAAAGTAAGGCTGTACGTTTGATTTCTGAACAACCTTTTAATTTTGAAAGAAAAAATAGAATTAAAAACAGACAAAATGAGACTTTTATTAGTAATAATCTGCAAGAAGCTGACCTAACTTGTTGGGATTGTCAAAATGTGTGAAAGCAAAAACACCCGACAGGTTATGCTAAATATAGAATGAAACTAATTTGTTGGTGCCTAGAACTTTTCAGAACAGACGCACACACAACAAACATTCTGTACTTTTCCTCTGTTGCGATTACTACTGCTGTTTACCGTATTAGATGTTTTTTAACTTTTTTACCATTAAAATTTGTTCAAATGGATTTAATATAAATGAGTAAATATTTACTTACTTCTAATATCACATCTAAAATTTTGGTATTAACCTTCCATGGAACTGACGCCAATTGATTCAGAGCATCTAAGCTTGGGTAAAGTTGTTGCGATCCAACTTCATTGAGTCTCCCTTTCTGACTAGTCGCCTGAGTAGGCAGCCTGATCACGTCACAAGGGGATACTAAATACCCACCTAAAATCAAAATATTTTTAGCTGTGTATTTATTTAAGTATATCAAAAAGTTTTCTATATAGTTATACCTATCACAATAAACTGGTAAAATCATATCTTCGTATAGAATTGCTAAAATGAATTTAAACCAAACACTCGCCGACTTATAATCGACCGACGAGAATAATTATTTTTTTATTATATTTAATGTATAAGGTGAACGTACCTAACTTGGGCACTGCATCTATAATGGACACCTCTGGAATATATTAATAAAATAACGTTACCGTGGCTTTAGTCACAACAAAAGTAGTGGTTTAAATGGCCTTGACTCTTGACTTGCCCATCATCTAAATCACAGCATAGGTTCCTATGCTGTGTCTAAATCATCGAACAACATTCCGATTCCGCCCTCAGTTTGACTATGAATTGTGCCGTGTGTGGTTTATTGTAAGCTGTTGTGAATTTGCGCGCCAAACTAACCTCAAATTAGTGGATTTACTAAGAAGTAAGTTTTTTTAATACTAATTTTTTGTTAAGTTTATTTATTTTTTTTTTTTATTGTGGTATTGGCTTTGTTCGTATATTTAACGGATATAATTAATTCATAAAATTCCAAAAATATAAAAAATATATCTTTTTGATTGTGAACATGGGTGCCCAAATTAGGAACAAGAATGTTATCAATGTACCAGTAATGGATAGTGTGCCCAACTTGAGGAATGTGGTATAAGGTGGCATTGTGCTTGTGTGTAACAGCCCACTGGATATAAAATATATAGGTATGGTCGGCAGTGTCATAGAAAAACTGGTTAAAATAATGGGCAATATAGGATCATTGCCAGTGTCAATTATAGGAACTTCAAATCACATTTTTATTTTGTCTTATGAATTGTCTTCCATATCCAATGAACTTTTTTCTATTTTGTTTTAGCATCACTATATCATACAAGAAGTACTCAGAAGATGTTATTAAATTAGCCATAAAAGAAGTAAGGGAAGGAAGTTCAATAAAATCAACGGCCAAGAAGCATAACATATCACGTTCTACACTTCAACGAAGATTAAACACAGATAGTTTTTATTCAATGGATTAAAGAGATGGCTAAAAAAGAATTCCCAGTAACAAAAGATACATTGCTGTTTAGCGTTGCTAAAACCTCAAAAGAACTGAAAATCACTTTTGGAGATGGAAGGAGTGACCCTGGAAGGAAGTGGTATGAAGGTTTTATGAAGCGTCACCCTGATTTTTCCAAACGCACCAGCCAAAACTTAACAGTTTAGAGGCGAGCAGTGACTCAAAAAGAATTAGAAAAGTGGTTTCAGGAGGTGCTACAATATGTAACTGACAATAATTTAAGAGGAGCATTGGCGGATCCGAAAAGAGTTTTTAATTGTGACGTAACAGCCTTTTTTCTCAATTCGAAACCTGGAAAGGTTCTGGCGGAAAGGGCTGTAAATCTGTATATACGGCATCGGGAGGCGATGAAAAATTAAATTTAACTGTGCTCCTTACAGCCAACGCCGGTGGAAAACTTGCTCCACCAATGATTGTGTGTAGGTATACAAGATTACCACAATTGATTGTTTTAGCCATGCCCTCTGAATGGGCCATTGGTAGATGGGAAAACGGATGGATGACGCATGAGACATTGTACCCACATATATTAAACGCCTATAGTAAATTTTTTTCATCCTTCGCTGACGAATAACTATATCGAACGACCAGTTTTATTTTTCATGGATGACCACACCTCACATATTTCGATGCCATTGGCTACCTTTTGTGCAGCCAATAAGATTGAAATGATATTACTTTTACCAAATGCCACTCATATACTCCAACCTATGGACGTGGCTGTTTTCCATTCCCTTAAACTCAGATGGAGGCAGGAAGATGCTGAGTGGCGCATGGCACATGAAGGAAGACAAGTAGGAAAACATAATTTCCCGACTATTTTAAATCAAATATTAGTTAAACTTGCACCAACAACAATTCAAAACGGTTTTAAGGCATGCGGTCTAGTACCATGGGACCCAACGGTAGTTAAAATACCAGAAGTGTCACAAAATAAGGTCCAGCATCCAGTTCAACAGTTGCAGTCTGTTGGTGTACCTCATGATACATTCCTTAATACACTTGAGAAAAAAAATAGGACCACCTAAAATTCAATAATTTAAAAAAAATGTAGGAGACTGGCGAGGGAATATAAGAGATTTTTGTTTATACTACTTGTGGCATACCGTAAAAACATTTAGCATTCAGAAAAATATGGAATGTATGATAGTTCAAAATCCCGAACGACAGGAAGAATCATCTTAGTTTATCCTCAGCTCAGAATGATCAATTAGCTGGTCCTTCTAAAGCACCAGCTACTTTGGTAGACCATTCAAAAGTACCTTCCCCATTCAAAAGAACTCTGTTTGGGCCTGGTGAGGCTTCCGAAAAAAACGAGCAAAAAAAGAAAAGCTGCCAGCGGTAGTTACATACCCTCAGATGCTTGCATATTTTACAAAAAAGAATAAAGCTAAACATAGATTAGAGGATGAGAGGCAAAGGAGAAAAGTAGTACGAGAAACTAAAAACAAAGAAGCAGAAAAAAAGCGAAGACTAAAACAAAAGTTAGTATGTACCTTCATCCCCCTCTAGTTCTTCTTCTGCATCAATTATGTATGAAGAGTCAGGGATGTCTTCATTTACTTCAGAAAGTAGTACAGACGAAAATCCTTAATTAGTCAGCCAGAGTAGAATTAAGGAAGGAGACTTTGTAATTGGTCAGTTTTTAGGAGGTGAGAGAGGAGCAACTGTATATCAGTATTTGTGCATAATACAACAAAAGGGCCTGAACCAGGACAGTTTGTTGTTCAAGGCTTAAGGTCTGTAGACGAAACCCAAAAACTTTTTTAAGGTTGTGGAGAAAGACATTTCCTCAAATAATATTAAACAAATTATTAGAGTAATCTCTAATCCTGACATTATTAATAAAGATAGACATTTGATTTGTAGTTTTAAGAAAAAATTAAGTGTATTGGAAAAATAGATTTATGAAGTTTTGTTTTTTTTATTATTAACAATATTACTTACTTAAATACTTAAGAAGTAGTTAAAAATAAATCATTGTTTTATGGTTATGCTATACATATTTCTGTTTTAATACTTTATTTTTCTTTGGTATTGTTAAAATATAAGATCATTTCCACCATAAATTACATTTTATAGGTGCCCAATATAGGGGTGCCCAACATAGGGTAGTGTGAAAACTTGGGTGCCCATTATTGGGACCAAGAGGACAAGATATATAATTTTTTTTTCTAAAATATATCAGACAATATTTTACCAGTAAAGTCACATAATATTTTATAGGAGAGATAATCTGACAAATAAAAAAAATCATGACCTCAACCTTACCTAGATGCGAGAAAAATAAGTTTGTTTGCTTAAGGTGCCCATTATTGGTACACTTACTTAAATAGGTATATTACACTGGCGGACAAAAAATTTAGGTCACTTTGAAATTGTGAGGTCTCGTTGACATTTTCCATAAACCATTACTGCTGTATTTTGTAAACTAACTTTACGTGTTTACACTCAGTATATAGTTTATTTAAACACAAATTTGAATTTTAATATGTGATGATTTCTGGTTTTTGTACCAAGATTAAATAATAATAGAAATCATATTTCTCTTTTTTTTGTATTGTTTTGAAATTAATACATTATTGATGATTTTAAATACAGCGATATAAATACCCATTTATTCAGCATACACGAGCGTATATTTAAAATAAAGTCGCGATTGATTTCAGACGAAAATATACAGGAGGCCTTATTAAAAAAAGGAAATACTTTTGAAAGTGTAATAAAAGTTAATAAATAATTATAGTAGTGTGTCAAATATTCTTAGGAGAGTTTTGGAAAGTTAATCAAAACATTTTTGACTTATTTTATCTTTTCATATAAGTAATATATTCGTTGAGAAGGGGGTGGTGGGGACCATGCTTATTACGGTGTTATACGACAGGAGGGAGGGGCATGAGTGCACATCCGACGTCGTTTGATGTATTTAAATTTGTCGCTATTATCTCTATAAATATAATTTTTACTAGTTCTTATGATACATTCGTAAAATACACTTTTACAGTTAATTTTTGTACAGAAATAACATTGAAGTTTTTAAAAAATTACTGAAAAGGGGTGTTAAGAGTTGAAATTGCGACATGGACATGAGGGTGGGCCTCGACTGTAAACTACGCTTTACGAAAGGGGTGGGAGTACTAAAAATTAACATTTTTAACGTAGTTTATGGACGTTCCCTAAACGAAAATCCAATAATATTAATAAAATAAAACCGTACTTTATCATGTTTACACCTTACATAAGTAAAATAATGAATAAAATATCGTGTAAAAGAAGAATAAGTATATACTTTTCAAAAATACTTCTATTTAGATATATTGCGAAAAAAACTCACCTATATCTGTAGATATCCAAGGTATAGGTGGGCACACCATAGGAACTTCGTAGGTAGGAAATGTCAAAGTTTCTGGATTAGATTGTCGATATAGTTTAGACAAAACAGGATGCGGTTTCACTTCTTCTTTAACCAATCTTCCTTGATTTCTAAATATTGTATAAAAAGCTGGTAAGTAATTTTTATGTTTGGTATTCCTTAAAACATTAACATCGACTTTGATATCGTACATAACAATGTGATATAAAAATTTTCCTATGAAAGTTAAAACTGCTGGTGCCCATTGCTGATGATCCATCTCAAGTGTAGCACCTTTACTTTTTAAACTATGATCGATCCATTGCCAAATTTGTCTGGGATTCACTGTAACTTCTTTCTCGGGTAAAATATCTAGAGATTTGTGAGTATTTGCGTAATTATTACAGTAAGTTTTATGGATATTAGTAACTTTATCTAAAACCCCATTTTTCTGCTTACAAATTATTTTATATCTCGCATAAACTTTACTTCCTAGTTCTTTGTAGAGCATACTGACAGTTGGACTGTAGGTTTCAGATCCTTGAGACATCTTTTTTGCTTCTTCTACAATTATAGCTATGCAATCTTTAGCCGGTATGGATCTTATGTAAGGTTCCATATTTATTGCACTTCTTTGCGCTGTTAGAGTTGCTAAGTCTCTGTTAAAAGCTTTAAGTGCTTCTTCTTCCCACATTTTATAGTGTTCTTCTAAGGATTTGCGATGCCTTTCCACTTCGTCACTTACTTTAGTTTTACTAACAATACTTCGAATCTAAAAATAATTATAAAGAAATATTTTACATACATTCTTCAAATTATACAGATATTGAATATCAGAGATTCTAAATTAAAACCCTTAACCCTAAAGGCGGAAATACACCATTCGATTCGGTTGAACAATGTGAATGATTCAACCAAAATGAATCATGTATTTTGCAATTAAATAAAAGCGTTCAACAAAATTGAACGTTGAAATAAGTTGGGATAATTTCTACTTTCGTTCAACTTCGTTGTACAACTGGGATGATTCATCCACATTGACGCGTCTATACAAGTTTTGTCGATTGTGTTCGATTCAACCGTTTATTTCATCGAGTTACAATCTTTTCATTTTGACTTGTGATATAATAAGTTCCGTACGTACGTTTCGAATCATCCACATTGTTCAACCGAATTGAATGAAGAATAAATTGAAGCGTGTATATGTATGCTTTTCAATTTGATTGAACAATGTAATTGAATCATCCACATTGCTCGACCGAATTGAATGGTGTATTTCCGCGTTTAAGAATGCACAACCCAAGTTTAGTCAACCTCGACCTTTCCTAGTATGTCTCGTTAATCGTCCCTATTCATTGCAATCGTTGCCAATTTGCAATATCAATCTTCATGGCATCCCCGTTTACAGGATCTTTCCACCTCACTGCTCGTGTCCTACTTCTATACCCCACATACATTGATAATATTGTTCGTCTGAGTTGGTAGTTTTCATTCGTTCTTGACAGGTGTTCCCTCTCCATTTTAGCCTACCTATTCTTATGACATTGTTTTCACAAGCTGCACTAAATATTTTTCTTTCATTCAGAGATGAGTAGATGATGAACATCTGTTTAGAAATAGTCCATGTTTCCGATTCATATGTCAGCGATAGTGGAATGAATTTCTTAGTTTGTTTGTTAGTTTGGTTTTTTGGACATTATTTTTCTCAGGTGTTTGCTTAATCAAAAGTAGCACCTGCTCGTCATTAACATCCTTCTTTTGAGTTCTTCCGTTGTGGAGTTGTCATAGGTGATGAGGGAGATTAGATAGGTGAATTTATTTAAAAACTATAGGTTACAGCTCTTGTTCTTCTTGATGTGCCTATCCGTTACGAATGTTGGCGATCATCATGGCAATTATCTTATCTGCAGCAGCGCGGAAAAGCTGCACAGATGTTGTATTGAACCAGATTCTAAGGTTCTTTAACCAAGATGTTCTTCTTCTTCCTGGACCTCGCTTTCCAAATATTTTTCCTTGCAGGATGGCTTGAAGGAGAGCATATCTTAATTCATTTCGCATAATATGTCCGAAGAATTGTAACTTCCGAGATTTAATAATGGTCAGTACCTCTCGGTTCTTATTCATTCTTCTGAAGACCTCCTTATTTTTATTCTCCTTAAGTATTCTCCGTTATGGCCACGTCTCAAATGCTTCCAGTTTTTGCACATATCTTCGTTCAAGGTCCACGATTCAACACCATAAAAAAGGACAGAGGAGACGTAGCATCGCAGCATTCTTACTTTTGTATCAAGAGAGAGGTTGTGACTCTTGAAGAAGGCTCCCATCCGATTGAAGGTGGATCTAGCTTTTGCGATGCGTGCTCTAATCTCCTGGTGGTTCATTCTTCATTTATTATAGTGCCGAGGTAGTTGTAATGCGTCACTTTTTCTACAGGAGATTGGTTGACGTAGAGTTGACCTTCTTTTATCCTTTTCTTGTTATGTTAATTCTTGTTTCTTTTAGTATTTGCATCATCTTGGCATGCTGTACTCGATCTGCGTGCTGTAACCTGTACTCGAGTAAATCGAGTACAGGTCAAAGTTAGTCACGGTTAAATGTTTGACCAGTTATGCACTTAGAGGAGTGTACAAGATGTTAGAGAATATCTTCTACACTGTACCTATTTAAGAGAGTTATGTCTTTATAATTTTTTACTTTCAAGTAGATTTTTTTTTGTGTAGTCTACAGATAATTTTAGTGTACGATTGTTTTAGTATTTGCTCTTCGTTGTAAAATTTGGTGATTATTCTGTAGATTTGATCTATTACATCCATGTTTGAAGAGCTCTGCAGTCGATATCGTCGATTTTTGGTCCAAGCCGCCCTAAAGACGTCGCCTGGTTAAAATTTACAGGAGCCTTTCTTCTTTGAGAACCGTGCGAAAATCTTCATCAGGATTTACTATCTCGTTTATCCAATATCCTAGGTTTTTAAAGTGGCTAGCTTTTGTAATCCGCTCATTGTTGACGAAATTAGTTTCAATGGGCCATCGTCTTGTTTACCAACCACAAGTAACTTTGTCTTTGGTATATTTACGCCAAGTCCATTATCGGAGCATTTTCCAGTGACTCGAACTATGAGGAATTGAAGATCTTCGATACTTTCAGCCATGATCGCTGTGCCATCTGCATATCTAATGTTGTTAATAGTTTTTCCCCTAATTCGAACTCCACATTGCCCTTCTAAGGCTTTGTTAAATATTATTTCCGAGTACACGTTAAACAAAGTTGGGGATAACACACAATATTGTCGGTCACCTCTTTGAATGAAAATTTTGTATGTTTCTTTGCCGTCTACCAGATAGAAGCTTCTTGATTCCAATATAGAAATTGTAAAAGTCTCACATCTCTATCATCTATTCCAATTATTTCTAGGTACTCAGAAACTAAAACAGCCCATCATGTTGGACCCTATCAAACGCCTTTTCAAAAACTACAGAGCAGACGTAAATTGGTTTATGTACTTTCCATGATCTTTGAAGTAATGTTAGCATTGAGAACAAAGCTTCTCTTGTTTCCAATTCTTCACTGAAACTGAATTATTTGTTTTTTTTTCACATGTCTGCTTAACTCTATCAGGGATTATCTTAAAAAGCAGTTTGAGAGAGTGACTCATAAGACTAATTAGTCTAAAGTCTTTACAAGATGATGTATTAGGATTTTTTGGAGTTGGATAAATGTAGACTTCAACCATATTTAGTTTGTTTGATGCCTTTCTCGACTTCCGCTTTTAAAATACTAGGACCAGGATTCGTCTACTTTAAGGTGTTAAGTGGTGGCCTCCTGGCCTCATATCCAGGAAGAGCTCCTTTATGTAATTAGTCCATTCTTTCTTTTTTTTTTCGTCGAGAATTAGTGACTTTTTCTCATGAAGTGTAGGTAATTTCTGTAAGTTTTTTGTGAATATTAAATTCGTCATGTTTTCTTTGTAGTTCTTCCATTTCATGACATCTTTGTTCCATTCAGACCTCTTTTTTTCGGTTAACTTAGTATCTTATTTGTCCATGTTCTCTTTATCGAGTCTCGTCTTTATTTTTCCACTTGCTTCTTTTGTTGAATAAGGTCTAGTACTTTATCGGTCATCCAATCCATTTCTTTATTGGGCTTTTTTCTGGTTTCAAAAATTCGCTTGCTATGGTGACCATGGCGGAATTCATTATATCTAGATTTTGGCCGATGTTTTCTTGTTCAGATCTTATTAGCTGTTTTTTAATCTTAGGATTTATCTTATTTCCGAACTCATCTGCTATTATAGCATTTCTTAGAAACCGAAGGTTTCTTCTGAATTATCGGAGCTTTTATTCTATTTAGTTATAATTTGAACCCAGCGCAGAGCAGATTATGGTTAGTTGCTGCGTCTGCGCTTGGATGAATGTGTCTAAACCTTCTACTAATGATAATGGAGTCAATTTTATCTCTGACTACCTTTCCCTCTTGATCAGCTGGAGATTTCCAGGTATTGTCATCGCCTGCCTTAGTCGTGGACTAATGCACACTCCGATGTGCATCGCTCCGCCTCAAAAAATCTACGATTTTTTATATAGGCTGACTGATCTGAATGCCCATATAGAAACATATAAATATGGGACATTTGAATCCACGGCTAGTCTGGTTTCGGCTCCCATATAGGGTTGCCTGTACCCTGGGATTCTGCTGTCGGTGGTGGTTTTCCAACTACTTCCTTCTCATTTAGTCTGTGCCCTCTTTCGTTCCTTTCTCCAAGTCTATAAGTTCCAGTTATATCTTGTGTGATTTCGGCAACAAGTTTTCAGTCTCCCATCTTCTTCTTCCTTTGCGCTATCCGTTTCGGACGTTGGCTATTAACAAGGCTATTTTGACTTTGTTTACGGCACCTCTGAACAGTTCGGTCGATGTTAGTCCGAACCATTGTCGCAGGTTATGCATCCATGAGTGTCGTCTTCTTCCCGGTCCCCTCCTACTGTCGATTATTCCTTGGACTATTAACTGTAGCAGCCGGTACTTAGTATGCCTCATGACATCTCCGAAGTACTCAAGCTTCCGTTTCTTTACGGTGAAGATTATTTCTTTGCTTTTGCCTATTCCCTGCATTACTTCCACGTTAGTGATGTGGTCTGTCCAGGATATCCGAAGAATACGGCGATATATCCACAGCTCAAAGGATTCTAGTTTCTTCAGGGTGACTTCCGTTGTGGTCCATGCCTCTGCTCCATAGAACAAGACCGGGAAGACATAACACTTGACCAGTCTTAATTTTAGTTCCAATGAGATTTTGCTTGTGAACCACTTTTTCATATTGTCGAACGCGTTTCGCGCTTTTTCAATTCGTGATCTTATTTCTGTTGACTGGTCCCATTTTGTGTTGACTGTGGTTCCAAGGTATGTGTATGTCTCCACTTATTCTATTTTTCGGTTGTTTAATGTCAATTGCATCGGAGGTTGTTGTGTTCTGCTGATGAGCATGCATTTAGTTTTGGTTGTATTGAGTTCTAAACCATATTCTTGACTTGCTGTGTGTATGCTAACTGTGTCGTCAGCATATCTAATATTATTGATTACTTCTCCGTTTACTTTGATACCCTCCGAAACTTCTCCCAGTGCTTCTGTGAAGATTTGTTCAGAGTATATATTGAACAGGAGCGGCGAGAGGACGCATCCCTGTCGTACACCCTTTTTAATATCTATCTTCCCACTGTGTAAGTTGCCCATCTTTATCCCAGCACTTTGGTTCCAATAGAGACTGGTTATTATGTGCTTGTCGACGTCCTTGTGCATGTCTCTGCATCTTTGAATTAAAACTTGCAGACTGAAGATCGCCTCTCTTGTGCCCAATGCGCTTCGGAATCCGAACTGTGACTCCGATATATTTGCTTCGCATTTGTTATATATTCTATTGTGTATGATTTTGGTGAAAACTTTGGTAATGTGATTTATCAAGCTTATTAAGCGGTGTTGATCACAGTGTTTTGCACTTGGTGTTTTAGGTATGGCTACAAAGGTCGATCGAAGCCATTCCTCCGGAATCTCCCCTTTGTCGTAAAAGGTGTTAAAAAGGCCTGTCAGAAAATCGAGGAAGTGGTCATCCGTTTCGCATAGGAGTTTTATGATCTCGCCCTGTATGTTGTCGGGACCTGGTGTTTTGTCGTTTTTTAGCGATGAAATGGCTTTTTCCACTTCAGACCTTAGTATTTCGGGTCCAGTCATGTCGTCGTCTTGGTTCACTGTTGCTCTGCGTTTATCGTTAAAAAGTCGTTCTACGTAATCTTTCCATGTGTCAATGAGCTTCAAGTCGTCTGATATAAGGTTACCGTCTGCGTCTATTAGTGACGGGTGGGGATTATTAGTTTTCTTTTTAGTTGTTAATTCTTTGATCTTTTTGTGCATGTTGTGGTAGTCATATCTTCTGTCGCACTCTTCGATTTCATCGCATTTCTCCTTCAGCCAGCGTTCGTTCGCTTCCTTTATCTTTGTTTTTATATTGTGACTTGTTTCTTGATACTTCACTTAATTTTTGCATTTGTGTTGTCTTCTTTCTTCCATCATATCAAGGATTTCATCCGTCATCCATTCTTTCTTCTTTACGCGCTCCTGTAACAGAAGTGTCTTGTTTGTCATTTCAACATCTCTTTTTATTTCTTCCCATTTAGCAACTGCGTCTTGTGCGGGTTCACTCAAGTCTCTAATGTTTCTTCTTAAGGTCTCCCATAATAATAGTAATCATGTTTTTTATGCTCCGTAGAAGTTGTTTAATTTGGATGTAGAATTGCTCAATTTCTTCATATGGTTTGTCAGCTGTGCATAGACTTATTATATTATATTAATATTCAGTAATTTATTTTGCAGCTGTATGATCATGATGCGATCATTGAAAGGATGACAATGATTGCGACTTTGTTACGTCTGGGTCGTTCTGCCTTTCCCAAGTGGTATACAATGTATCCATTACTCTTAAATATGCTTGACCCTAGCCATTTCGTTTCGCAGATACCCAGGATATGAATGTCTAGTCTACCCATTTCTAGCTGAATAATTTGTAATTTCGTAGCTATCTTGTGGACTTCCACGAGGCGGGGTTTTTGTGGGTTGACGACCCGGGAGACCCCGTTGTCTGTGTGACCTTCCTAACCTGTCGGATCTTGAATTTCGAAGTCTACGATCATTAGTTTCTTTGTCTGTCATGGAAAGCTGTACTAGAGATACCCACAAGGACCTTTAATGTAGTGGTTTCTCCTGGTTTTCTACATCCTGATGCCGTTGACTAGTTCTTGTTTCCTTTGCCTTTGAGATCGATTTCGCGTTCTCACAACAGAGTGCCCTACCACTCACCTACTCATCCGCCCGAAGCCATTGGTCAGTAAGAGGGGATTTCTTATTCTTGATATCATTCGGCAATAAGTAGTAACTTCGTATTACTCAGATATTATTGAGGGACGGTATACCTAAAACGGCGTGCATGCTTAAGTTTTACAGTCTCGAGTTCATTTTATTGACGGTACATCTAATATAATAAAGTTTACTACTGCTGTAGCAAAATTCGTTTTGGTACATGGAAAAATTCGACAAATTAGTGAAAGAGGCATCGCGTTTAATTTTTAAAAGGTGTAACCTTTCAATCAATTATTACTATGGATTATAAAATCATGGATGTATGAATACTCCATCTAATTATATGCCACAAAAATATTATACTTCTCATTTAAGTTAAAGGGTTTGGGAACTAAAGAGGGGAGATGAAAAATCAAATTGGAGTTGCTTTTAGAAACAAAATCGACCTGGTTTAGCATTTTTACAAAATCTAATGAATACTGTCAAACATCAGAATGAACAGTTTTCAGTGACCCACTATGCATATGTACAGGGTTTTATTCGATTTGAATAACTTTAAGTAGTATTGAATTTATTCTGTTATAGATTAATGTTTTTAGTAAGACATACATAGTCGACAACAAAAAAATTGTACGGTAGTCTTTTAGGTGGTAGTCTAGGATTCTCGTGGAATTTTTTTGTAGTTGATAAGGAAATCAGTGTGAATGCCATAGAACTTTCTGGCATTTCCGGAAGGTAACGTATTTAAGGATAACTATTATTTATTTTTTTGTGAAAAGATGATACTATTCGATTTCTAAATATTCCTTTACTTTTGTATGAGCTTTACCTGTTGAGTATTCTTGTTATCGCCACAATACAAGACACTATTAAATTTAGATTTGGACTTCTAGCTTTACGTACCCTTCCTCGTTACTTTTGATAATACCTGTGCAGTTTCAAACAAAACATCAAGAAGAAATAATTCCAGACCGCGCCTATAAACCCAAAATATAAGGTGTCATTACAAAATATATTTTTTATGTTGGGTAAAAACTATGTTTTAGTATTTCATTTATTATTGTTCGTTCTTAAGAGTTACATCAACACATACACTGGTCTAATAAATATCCAAATCTCCTAGGACTGACAAAAATAAATTTGATCAATGGATTGAATTTTTTTCCTCAAGAATAGCTGTGATCAATCAACCCAAAAATCAATCTTTCGTAGTATAAAAATGTTTAAAAAAAAATTAGAAAATAATTAGAACTTACTGTGACATATCCATCTTTTTCCATGCGGATCTGCTTTTCAATTCGATCCATAAGAGCTGAAGGAGTAAAAAGTCCATCACATTCCTGATCGGTCGTAGCAAATGGTTGTTCTTGCTCCGAATTATTTAAATGATTGACTAAATTATTGTTATACAAAACCGTAGGGTTATTATATTTTGGCTTGTACTTTGGATTAATATGATTTATCGCTTTTAAAACCAGCTCTCTCTCATTATTTAAAAATACTCCTTCATTCATTATATTATCAAAGGTGATGCCTTGTGCAGAAGCTTGTTTCACAAACTTCTCTAACTCTTTCTGATAATTTTCAAGTTTATTTCTAGCAATGCATTCAAAGATAGCTACATAGCTATGAATGTTCAAGTTAATGTGCTCCTCTTGCATGATCTCTAAAACTTCTTTGATCTTATGAAAATCGCCTTTGTGTGCGAAAGCTCTCAAGAGAGTATTGTACACTTTCTTGCTTTTTATTGGTATATAATTTCTACTATTGAGTTTTCTGCTCTTAACCCTATGAAAATTAAGCGCAGTTAAACCACGCTGAGGATTCTTTAAATGTCCACATACTTCTATGTAAGCTGCCACAGATTTTGTAGCTATTTCCTTTTTGCGATTACGATCTATACCTATTCTTACAAAACGTTTATCTGGAGGATCTTTTACTTCCTCTACTTCTGATATCTGCTCATCTGTTACTTCTGGTTGAAATAATGTATTAACAGCCTTTATGCTGAAAACCAAAAAAGAAAATTAAAAATAATTTAACGATTATTTGAGTTTTGAATTTGAATAAAAAAAAAGTAAAAATTAAAGAAAATTAGAAAAAAAGAAAAGGATGAATTACAAGCCCCTTTCCATATCAGTTGGCCCATCTATGGAATTGGCAATTTATGGCAAATATATTTATAAGTTCCCATATTCATTAATATGGCATTTTTATTATTAAAAATAGTAACCTTAAGTATGGTTTTATTTATTTTCAACAATAAGAATTAGTTTTTTTACTAAATTGTACTAAATTGTCATTGAGTTTCAAAATGATTTAGCCTTAAAATCGTTAGTCTAAAGTACTGAATGTATCTGGCCTATTGTAAGTAAAGACAAATATTCAGTTCTATGCCGTGTTGCCTTGAAAGTGAAAGCATTATTCAGTTCAACCTATTTGTGTGAATCTTCTTTTTCCAATATGAAGTTTATTAAGAACAAATATCGCAATCAACTTACAGATGAACATTTGGATAATTGGATTCGAATGGCTGCATCAAATTATACTGCAAACATTAAAAAAATTATCGATGAGTCTGAGTGTCAGCCTTCTCATTGAATGTGCTTTTTTATTTTTCAATGTTTATGTTTATGATAGTACCTTTTTTGTTGTTATTATTAACTATTTTTAAATCATACGTGACATGCCGTTGTGGCTGGATAAAAGTTTGTGTTTATTTTTCAAATACCTTCGTTTGATAGGTAGGAATGTAGCTATAAACAAGTATGTACTAATAATATTAGAAGATATTAATCTTGACGAAGAATGTCAAGCTATAACAGAAAGAAAAAACAGAGCATATCTACAGATGCAACAGAGGCACAGAACCCGACAAGCAGAGGAAGAATATAAACAACTACGTAAAGAAGAAAAGAAAATTCACCGAAGAAAGAAGAAAGAATATATCAACAAAGAACTGCAAGAACTACAAGAACTAAGTAAACCAACAGAGACAAGAAAATTTTACCAGAAACTCAACAAAAGCAGAAAAGAGTTCAAACCGAGAACAACGATGTGTAAAGATAAGGAGGGTAATATATTGACAGAACAGCAAGAGATACTTAGAAGATGGACAGAATATTTTAAGGAAAAGCTTGGGGTGAATAGGACGGAGATGAACCCTGATATACCGTTAGACCAAGCAGACAACAGAGAAAAGAGTCCACCAACAATAGCAGAGATTAGAACAGCAGTGGACAAATTAAAGAACAATAAATCACTGGGATCGGATCAAATATCATCGGAGCTACTGAAAGAAGGAGGAGACGCATTACTTAAAGCCATACATTAGCTGACAAGAAAGATATGGTTGAATAAACAGCTACCAAAGGAGTGGAATAGCGGCATTATTGTACCACTACATAAAAAAGGAAACCAGTTAGAATGTGAAAACTACCGTGGAATCACGCTGTTGAATGCGGCATACAAAATAATGTCCAAAGTAATGTATGAAAGACTTAGACCATAGGCTGAAAAAATAGTTGGCAAATACCAATGTGACTTCTGTAGACAGAAGTCAACAATAGACCAGATATTTGTTCTGCGACAGATCCTTGAAAAAACAAGTGAATATAACATCGACACACATCATCTCTTCATAGACTTCGAAAGCGCATATTACAATACAAACCGAGAATTCCTAACAAAAGCAATGAAAGAATTTAATATACCAACACAGCTAATAGAATTGATAAAAGAAACACTAAAAGTAGAAAGTAAAATCCGGATACAAAACGAATTAACGGAAACAATAGATGTGAAGAAGGGACTACGCCAAGGAGACGCTTTATCATGCATATTATTCAACATCATACTTGAAAAAATAATAAGAGACACAACAGTTAATACCCGAGGAACAATAATTAATAAAAGCGTGCAAGTACTAGCATTTGCAGATGATGTTGACATAATCGCAAGATCAAGAAGAGAAATGATAGAGGCATTCACTCAAATAGAACGAGTTGCAAAAAATAGTGGTCTTAAAATCAATCAGACAAAAACAAAATATATGCCTGCAAATAAAAACGCACAAATAAGGCAGCTGCCAAATTTAACAATAGGAGAATACAACATTGAGGCGGTAAAAAACTTTACATACTTAGGATCCCTAGTTACGTCTGATAACAACGTTGCAGAGGAAGTGAAGAGGAGAATATTTATTGCCAATAAACGTTACCATGGCTTAATTAGGCAACTAAGATCAGATAACGTCTCCAGAAAAACAAAATGCCAAATATACAAAACCTTAATAAGACCGGTACTCACATACGGTTCAGAAACCTGGACACTCTCTAAAAGGGAGGAAACGTTATTAGCCACCTTTGAAAGAAAAATCTTGCGACACATATATAAGGCCCAAAAGAAAACGGGATTTGGCGGAGAAGGTATAACTTTGAACTATACAACATATACCAGGATCCGGATATCATAACATTCATTAAAATAGGAAGGCTACGTTGGATTGGACATGTGGAAAGAATGGAAGAAGGTGAAATACCAAACAAAATATTCAAACAAGTGCCAGTAGGAAAAAGAACAAGAGGAAGACCGAAGCTGAGATACGTAGAACAAATAGAAAATGATATAACAACATTAAAAATTAAAAACTGGAAAAAAAAGCACGAAACAGGTCAGAATGGAGAAGAATCCTTGAACAGGCCAAGACCCAAAAAGGGTTGTCGAGCCAGTGATGATGATGATGATTTTGTTATTAGTTTATTATTAGTACCTATGATAGATAATGATAGATTAACTGTGGATTATTTCATTTACGTTGCGTTACGTGGCTTCCGTGTGGGTAGCTCGCTGTTTATTCCAAAATTAACAAAGTAGCTCGACACATTGAAGAGGTTGGCGACCACAGATCTAAACATATTGGAGTCTGTTTATAATTAACAAATTGCTTTTTCATTTGATTTCGGTTCCGCCTAGATAATTACACATGAAATAAATAAAAATATTTCCACTTGGGCTGTGGTTTGCTCCCTTTTTTGGTTTTGTAGAAAGGTTTAGCATATTTTTTTTATCTTTCTTAAACCAATCTCCTCATAATTCCCTTCTTTTCATTCGTACATTTCAATTCCCCCTTTTTTTAAATATATCCCCATCCCAAATTAATATAATACTTAGATAAGTTTTTATGTATAGCTTTTAATTTTTGAACTTTTTGAATTTCTCACTTATTCATATTCTCATACTCAAAAACCTGCACAAAGAAAGTAGAACAACTTTTTTTGTAAAAGACGTTGGTGATAATAAACAAAGACAGGAAAACATGGCAAATAATTCATACTATTGCAGTAGCTAGTTATGTTTTATTCTTTTGTTGAATTTTATAAATTTATGTTCATTCAATTTTTTGATTCACCTATGTACATTAACAGAAGCATGAAAACATCTAAAACATGAAAAAAAAAGATGATCAGCAAATCTTGAAGAATTAGATATACAGCAATTACAGCACTCTGTAGTACAAGATGCTCATATGAACTCAAACACTTCATTTGGTAGAAAATCCACCAAATCTGATAGTTGGAAAACAGACAAATCTATCATATCATCCACAACTGGCATGGATTTATTTCAAATAGCATATAATTCTTTCTTTTATGATAGTGCAAAGGATGTTGTTGATATTGTCCACCAAGTGACACGATAAACTAAAGATTCATGGAGAAAATAGCCAATGCACTTTTCGTTAAGTTTTAAATCTAGCAGCAATAAATGCTTGGATAATTTACATGTAAATCACTGAGCAAGATATACTTCATCTAATTTAGATAACGACTTACGTCATTATCTACGTCAGAGATCGAAGTTGACATTCAAAATAATGAAGTACAAAAAGTGTCAATACCGGAACTGTCAAATAAGTGTTACCAATTTATGCCAAAATTTTACCTTCGTTCAAATACAGTTAGTGTGTTCCGAACAAATGTTTTTGATAAAAACGCTTTATAATGCATTTATACAAATTAAATGAAACATATTATTGTGTATTTCTTTAAGTTAACATTAATAGAAATTTTTAAATATCATTTGTACGCGTATATAATAAAATATTTCTAGTGTCTGTAATGCCAGTGTACTCGGTAAAGTGATTCTAAAAAAGAACACACCTACACCCTAAATATTTTGTGTTGGTATCATGTGACGTCACAGGCTATGACGCCGATGACGTGCATCGGTATATAAATTAGATGAAGTGTAAGTTTGTAAGATCAATTATCCAGCTGTGTATCAAACTTATATTAGAAAATGGTTACTTCAGTGGAGCAATAATGTTGCTGGTGGTTCTGGCATTGTGAAAGACCAAGTGACAGAAGTACAGAATTAAAGCGCTTGTATGTATATTATTATATTTGTTGTTGTTAACTTATTTATTGAAAATGAAATATTTGTTTATAATGCTTCATTATCAAAATAATCCCTTCATATCCTTGGAGATATTTATACATTCACCATTTTTAAAATATCTAAAATATATTTACCTTTCGAGTTCCTCTTCTTCTGCTGAACACTCAGCTGTATCACTTTCATTCATTTTATCTATTATATCTGCAGCTGGTAGTGGCTGTCGAAAAAAAGTATTGAATGTTTCATTGGTGGATGTTGTGTCTCCCTGTGATGTTGTTGGTATATCTTTAGATGGTACATTTTGAGAAACCAGGTGTTCAGGAACAGTCAGATTAACAGTCTTCTCAATCTTTTCTCCTGAATTTATATTAACAAAATCAATGTTGCTTGTACTTGTTGATGGAAGGTTATCAATAATGTTCAAGTTATTGTAACTATATTCATTGGCTACTGTTGGATTCTGTAAGATTTCCTTGAGTTTGTGAAGTTCGCTTAAATTTAAATTTGTGCTTGCTAGTAATTCTAATTCACTAAAGGTTAATTTTTTTACATTTGCTCTACGCTGACATGATGAATTATCTGTAACTAAAATTTTAATATTTTAAAATATGTAAGACTGAAAATACATAATAATCAGTTATCTATAGTATCTTGTTATTAAATAAATGGGTAGCTCAATTTGAAAATAAAAAACTTACAAAACATAATATATTAAAAAAAGCTTATTGTCAAAAATTTTGTATACAGATCAATCCTTCTTCAGATTTTTGAAAGCAAAATTGTTGATAACTAAAGTCATTAATTCATTTAAATTTTTATTTAACTAATTGTTTTTCTACACTAAGCAAAAGCCTACAACTATCCTTGGATCATCATTTTTCTTAAAACTTGTATTCTTTACATGTTGAAAAAGAATGCCTGGTTTCAGCAGTAATCACAGAAAACTTACACAAATTTATTCTTAATAAAAATTGTAAATATGTATTTGCATATTGGAAATTTATTCCATGTGCTCAATTACAGTAAAAATGGTAAATTGTATTAACATGCCCTAAGAAAATATTTTGAGAATGCATATTGGTCATTGTGAAAGTGATCTATGTTATACACAACTTCCAATTCAGTGTTAAGTGTTAAATAAACATTAGAGTAGGCTGCGCATTAAAAATTTTGGTGGTTGGAATGTTAAATGATATTCTGTCACTTTCACACAATAATATTTAACAACTTCACTGCCCAACGAATTATATATGATTCAAAAAAGCTAAATGTTGCTTGTATGCTAAATGTATTAAAATATTGCTTGACATGGTAGACTCCAGATATATGTTACCATTGAGTAAGTGAAGTTGATAACACAGATAATATACACAATCCAACTCGTTTACATTTTACTGCTTTTTTAACACAACTCGTAAGGTAAATTAAGTAATTTAAAAGTTATTTACAACCATTTTGGATATCTGTATGGCATATTCAGAAGAAAAAATTCATATCAAACATAGGGTGAAATAATAAATACCTTTGAGAATGAAATGCTCAAACAAATTCTAAGCTTTACGTTAAATCTGAACTCATAGGGTATGGACCAATCTCAAATTCAATAATAAAGTTGAAGTTTATGTAAAATCACAAAAGCATTACCTGATCAAATTTTCAATGAAATAAGCATGGGTGCTTCCGGCACACATGAAAAAAAGGAAAATAGTAGTGCAGTTATGTGGAAGTGCTACGAAAGGTTTTTCAGTTCTACTAACTAGAAATTTTGTGATATTAAAATCTCAATAAAAATGACAATTGTGTGAATGTTTTGACCTCCGAAGCAAGAAATAAAGTTTATGAAAATGGAGTGCATGAATGCTCTTTAAATTCAAAGTATTACATAAGTAACTATTTAGACACAATTATTTGAACAACCAAAACAGACAAAAGTAAAAATATCGGAGAAAGAATAACTAGCATGTATTTATTTTTAGAATTGGATGTGGAAACAAGGCTTGCAAAATTAATTGATTCAAGGTATCAATTTACCCAGTGATGATATATTTATCCCAATTATGCAGATAACAGATCAATGTTTTTGGAATGTAGTTGTGTTATGACATTGTTGCCATTGTGTTACTGTGGTAACATTTCCTGTTATTTTATGTCATAGTGTGCGAATATTGTGTAATTTGAGATTTTAGTGTTTTATTATTGTTAGTAACTATAAAAAATGCCACTCGTTGCAACTGATGAAGCTAGGGCAGTGGCTGTAGCTGATGATGGGTACAGCCAATGTTGTAACATTCACACACGCGATATACCCAGAACTACCCTACTGGATGCTATCAGAAGATTTCGGGAGAGAGGTTCATACACCCGCAGGCCAGATCCAGGCCGACACTGATGGATCACAATTTAAGATGAGTACTTCATTGTCAGCAATGTGTTGAGAAATTGCTTTTGCACCACTCCTGAAGCTCTTACAATTCTTTTTGAGGTAAGAAATGTTAGTGTGAGTGAACAAACCATTAGAAGAAGACTGACAGAAAGAAATTTGAGGGTTTTTCGTCTAGCTCGCACCCCACAACACTGTAGATGGAGACTTGGTTTTGCTCGAAAATATGTTGAATTTCTATAGAAGTGTAGTGTATTTCTAGTAGTGTAAATGCTCAAAGATACTTGGAAGAAGTTCTCCAACACAATATTATGCCTATCGCACCGTTCATTCGTGAAAACTTTAGATTGAAGCATAATAATGCATGTTGTCATACCACAAGATCCATCCACGAGTACCTTAATGAGGTCAGGATTCAAATGTTACCATGGCCGGCACACAGTCCCGACCTTAACTCAATTGAAAAGATTTGTGACGATCTCAAAAAACAGGTTTGAGAAAGAGTACCAGCCCCTACATCCTTCATCAAAGATGGCTGCGGTAGAGGAGTGGCATAATATCCCAAAATCAGATATCCAGAATATCATGAATGGATTACTGAACCGGCTCCAAGAAGTCCTAAGGGACAGAGGTGGCAAAACCCATTATTAATACTCAGATTTTTTTAATTAGACTATGATTTTCATAATTTTCTTTCTAGTTTGAATTTTCTTCAAAGATTTTTAAATGTTGTATTTTTGCTAAGCATTCCTTGATAAACGACACTGTTTTCAATAATTTTATTGGGTTTTACACTATATCGATCTACTAAAAAATATGTAATGAGAAAATCATGTTCAAAAAGTAATCATTATATCGCTGTCTCGGTGGAACATTGACGTACTGCAAATTTATCGAAAATTAGTTTATGTCGTCATTGGGTCCAACCTTGGTTACCCCATTCGTTACATCACTGTCAGACATGTTGTTCAGCTTTTAGCCACCAGGAAGCAGATGCGTCATATTTGAAACAATGACAGAATGTATAGTTGTGCTTCGATAGGTCGAGTGTGTGATTGTACCTATGGTGCTACATTGACGCAATTGTATTTTGTTATTGTTGCTCTAAAGTTTTTTAACAAATACGCGGAAACATTGACGTAACTGTATTCTGTGTCATTTTTCATCTGGATTTCTCCTTATTATGAGGCAACATTGACATAAGTGTATTTTATATAAGTAAAATATACACCAAGATCCCCCAACACCAACACTTGGTAATGCTGTATTAGTCAAGAAGGAAAAAAAGACAAAGGAATGTGGATAATTGGTTGAAAGAAAAAAAGAAAAGACTGAAGAATTCTGAACAGGGGTATACTTCTAGAACACGAAACCTTTAGCTGCTAAAAAAATGGGACCTGTGTGTACCGACAAATGCCGTTTGAAATGTCCAAGTAGGGTATCTGAAGAGCTGAGAGAAACACAATTTAAAGATAATTGGGTATTAGGGTCCTTACAAAGACAGCCAGATTTTTTAGCTTCTTGTATTCAACCACTTGAGTTGGGATACAGTTGTGAGTAATACTTTTGGAATAATTGAAAGCGCTATTCGCTCTATAATTAAACCAGTTTCAAGTGAAAAAAAAGTTTCAACTATTATACCAGAAGATAAACGCGGGAAGCACGAGAGTCAAAAAAAAATAAGTGACAAAATTTTGGATTCTGTTCGTAGCTGTATATTATAAGTAAAGTAAAGAAGAGTAAATAGTAGATGTATCTGGCTACTTATGATTTACAAGCAGTGTAACCTGTACTAATAGGACAAAGTTCAACAGATAGACAGATAGCACTTGTGAAATTGATAAAGCTAACTCTTACTTTTGGAATGAAGTGGTGGGGAATAGAGAGGCAATAGAAATCGGATCTTGCATTTATTACTATCTAAAATAATTGTCAATAACCAGCCCAAGAGTTATTGTGATTTTTTATTCCGATAACTGTGGAGGCTAACAAAAAAATAAAGTTCTAATAGCCATGTACCTGTTTGCTGTCAATACTTTGGACATAATAGACATAGCCTAATAGAAAAAGCTGTGAAGAGGGCAACCAAATCAGGGCCTATATACATTTCCTAGCAATATGTTGAATTACTTGGGAATGCTAAAAAAACAGGAGCTCCTTTAACAATTAAAGAAATGGATTTCACTGAGCTTTATGATGTAATCACTTCACTGCAAAATAACTGAAGTAATTATTCAGTAACTAATAATGTTATTTCAAATCTTAAAAGGGAAGGATTACTTCCTATATAAAAAAGTTATAAACAACCATCGTGGACGAAAGTTGATATTTGCCAAAAAATAAGGGGACTGAGTTCGTCCGAATTGTTTTCACCAAAATGCCAACTGAGGGCTTACTCTTTAAAAATTCCTTTAGGTGATAACAAACTAAAAGATTTGAAACAGTTACTTTCAAAACATAATTCCTGGATTTTGTAAAGCCTTATACTATTCAATTTTTTAGTTGATACTTTTTTTGCAATTTCAATTTTATTTTTAAGTTCTTTTTTATTAAAAATGTTTGCTTTTACTGCAATTTTTAATTTGTTAAATAACATTTTTCAATAACTCTTTGTTCTTATTTCGATGCCACCTTTTAAGACTAGCTAGGTAACCAAAAATTTTACAAAATGAAAATTTTATCTTTAAAAATAATCTAAATTTTTCTTTCTAAAACTAAATTCTTAATTTTTCATCCCTAACTTTGATTTCCAATTGCAATTACGTCATTATTGCCTTAGTGATTTTGTAGAAAGAATGACGTAATTGCAATTGGGGATCAAATTTAGGGATGAAAAATTAAGAATTCATTTCGAATGTGTAGTAGAGTTACAGTATATCACGGTGGCTTAGTATAACTGCAATACTAATCCAGTAACTTCATTATGATTCATTGCATAAGGTATTAAGTAAAATAATTTTATATTTTTGGCTCTCCTGAAAAGTTACACTTTTGTAGTTACGTCATTGTTCCACCGGGACAGCGATATCAGTGTTCAATTATAAATTTTGGAAAAAATCTATTTATTTGGAAGAAATTCAATATGACCTGGCAACCTTTCTGGTGCCGGTTTAGACTTCAGTCAATTCCATAGGATTATGTGTCCCCTCTATTTCCTTACCATGTCAATGTAGCTACTAATATTCGCTCTTTTAAGAATGAGTAGTGATGTGTGGCGAGTTGTCTAAAAACTAAATTTAAGCTAAAGGAATGCAAAATTTAAAAATCTGTAAAATGCCCAAACATCATATTTAATCGTTTTCCTTCATATTATAACTTTATAATAAACTTTTATATTTATTATTTTTCATTTTATAATCAACATTTTGCTTACTAAGTGGATTAATTTTTTGCACATCCGTAAATTGTGAAATTTACATCCGTAAAATAAAGCAAGGCTCCCATTGTGGCCCTGTTTTGTTTTGCTTGTTTCTGGTTGATTTAGTACAACAAATCAAAAATTGTAGTGTTCTTATGTTTGCTGACGATGTAAAACTGTTTAGAAAAATTCAATCCTGGAATGATGCTGTTATATTACAGGAAGATCTTAAATCGTTTTATGATTGGTGCACTTTAAACAAAATGTCACTCAATATAAACAAATGTCATAAAATGACATTCTCGAGGCAAAGAAATCCAATTACATTTGTTTACTACATAAATAACTTGCCATTAGCCTCGAAAAATGAAGTATTAGATTTGGGAATTTGGTTAGACACCAAACTGTCATTCTCAAGCCACATTAACCAAGTAACAAACAGAGCGATGAAAGTGCTGGGATTTATCCAACGCACATCTGTGGATCTGTCTTTATTTACATTTAAAAGACTTTATTGTGGTCTCGTTAGGCCCATTCTTGAGTTTGGATCAGTTGTATGGTCCCCATCATACCACTGTTACATTCAACAGATTGAAAGAGTCCAGAATAAATTTTTGAGGGTAGCAGCCTATAAGAGTGGATACAGGAGAGAGGAATACGACTATCAGTGGGTAAGAGATAGTCTTAACTTACCAACTCTTGAGTCAAGGAGGACATTGTTGGATTTATGTTTCTTACACAAAGTTATCAATGCTTTTATAGATTGTCCTCAACTCTTATCGCTTGTTAGTCTTAAAGTTCCTAGTAGAAGCAACAGACAATCAGAAATCTTTTCGGTGCCATTTCACCACACTAATTATGGTACCAATGAACCAACTACACGATTGGTCCGGAGTGCTAATAGCTTGCCAAGACAAATAGATATTTTTGACTCCAAAATTAGTTTGTTCAAAAAACAACTAAAAAATATCTTACAATAAGTTGGTTATACATCTGTATTATTCTTATATGTTTGTATTATTCTGAGGTGTTTGTTATTTTAATAATTTATTGTTGTTAAGGTGTAACTTTTTAAAACTTGTGATTGTTATTTTAATAATATATTGTTTTTAAGATGTAACTTTGTAAAAATTGTAAGTAAATGGATGCCGTATATAAATAAATAAATAAATTTAAACACTGTTGTTGCATTCCTTTAGCTTTAATATAGTTCGATGCCTCACAGAATTATGGTATCGACATCTAGGGCCCCGAAAGACAAGCCACACACAATCAAGGTAAAACAAGAGCTCAAAACTTAAAATTCCAATCTGCAGAAACCGAATACTCTTGCGAAAAAGTCACTATAGCTCTCAAGGATGTAAAGCCAGGTAAAGCCCCAGGTTTTGACAATATTCATCCTGAATTCTTAATTAACAGCGGCAAATATGCGAGGGAATGGATGGCCCACTTTTTCACAGATATTATGAAGACCGGTACCATACCACAGGAACTCAAACACTCAAAGATAGATAGATAGAATTTATTCATCCACAAAGTTTACACAATTCTTACAAAAAAAATGTATAAATCTTATCTGACAAGATCATTGCCATATTAAAACCAGGGAAACCAAATGATAGCAACCCTAAGAACTACAGACCTATAGCCCTACTATCGGTAACATTCAAGCTACTAGAACGACTTATCTATAACAGAATTAGTCCAAAGCTACTTGAATTGATACCGGTTGATCAAGCAGGTTTCCGACCGAAAAGAAGCTGCTCAGATCAGGTTCTTTGACTTACCACATTTATTGAGGCAGGTTTCCAGAGAAAACTTAAAACTGCAGCCGCATTCATAGACCTAACAGCGGCCTATGATACAGTCTGGAGAGAAGGCATGATATACAAGCTCCTCCATATAATCTCCTGTAAATCCACCGCTCGAATAATCAACAGCATGCTAGCTAACCGAATGATTCAAATAGCCATGGGAACCGACATCAGCACCCCAAGAAAACTGAAGAATGGACTGCCTCAGGGATCTGTCCCAGCTCCTCTTCTCTTTAGCCTGTACATCGCTGATATACCAGAAACCAGATCAAGGAAGTTTGGTTACACCGATGAGTGGGTCCTTGCAACAAGGTTTAAGTCAATTGAACAAACAGAAGAAATCCTTACGGCAGACTTACACACAGTGGGAAAGTATTTCCTTAAATGGAGGCTCCAATCAAACGCTACCAAAACAGAGGTTTCCAGTTTTCACCTCACTAACAAGCTTGCAGGAAGAACACTGAACGTCCAATTCGAAAACACTACACTGGCCTACAAAAAAACACCAAAGTACCTTGGGGTGACTCTTGATAGAACCCTATCTTTCAAGGAACATCTGTCAAAAACAGCGCAAAAACTTAAATCCAGAAACAGCATCATCCAGAAGCTGTGCGGCACAACATGGGGACCATCGGCTTCCACCTTGAGATCATCTTCCTTGTTTTCTCAACCGCGGAATACTGCTCTTCAGCCTGGCTTAACAGCCCACATACACACAAAGTAGATGCCCAATTGAATAACACAATGGGAATGATTGCTGGTGTTATCAAATCCACCCCTACACAATGGCTCCCAGTCCTGAGCCACATTCCACCACCCAGACTACGGTGTATACACTCCCTCACTAGTGAGTACCACAAGATACTTAGCAACGAGACCCAGCCAATTCATCAAGATATAGATGCTGAAAACGGTAACTGTTTGTGCTCCAGGTGACCGCCAATAAAAACAGCGCAGATTGCAGTGGAAAATGAGTTCAACTTAATGACCACTTGGACTCAAGAATGGATGGAACAACAAAATAGCAGCTACCCTGCATCACACAAAAACCACCAGGTTTTGACTTACCACGCAACATATGGACTACGTTGAACCGAGTCAGAACCAAACATGGCAGATGTGGTTATATGATGCACAAATGGGGTAAACGACCATCCCCACTCTGTGACTGCGGACAACCACAAACCATTTGTCACATCACATCAGAGTACAGTGTCCCACAAGATCCTATTAAGGCAGGTCAGAGGACTTCCTAATGGCGACTCCAGAATCGATAGAATATATAAATAAGTTAGATGTTCGTTTGTAAACATATATGTATTATGTTTTATACAAATTATGCGTAAATTTAAATGTAAATGTGTCAAGTGTCATATGATAAATAAAAAATAAATATAGTTTGTAGACAATTCACTACACACAGACACTCATCTGTAACATGGCGAATAGTTGTTATTATCATATATTACAGACACTCTCTGTTATACTTAGCATGTATTATTTTTTTCAATTGTAATTTTTTTCTTTGAACATAACTATATATCTTGTTATTGCATCTTTTATAAGTTCTGCTAATAGTTTTTAGAACCAAATAAATTTTGTAGCAGTTCGATGTTTATTTGTACACAAAATTTGACCTAGTTTTGCCATATCTCATTTATTTATAGACCTTCAGATTAGCTTCCAACTTTGATTAATTTTTTGATTTCTATATCACATACATAGAAAGTTTATTTCTTAAAATAATTTCCTATTGCTTAAATTTTCTTAGGTTATTAATTCAAACTACTGAGATTTACTTTTATTTATATTTTCTTAATTTAATGATTTTGTCAGCAAAAAAAAAACATACACCACTTAAACTTACTTAAACTTTCTATATTTTTATTAACAATTCTGTCTAATTTCTACATAAATACCTAAATAAAGATTTACATTACCTATTATTTACATACCTATTAGCAGCTCAGCATACTCCTTTTTGTTTCGTTTTCTAGGTTTCCTAATTTTTAAGCTTGGGTTTGGGTTTGAAGAATTATACCTAAATGTACCTACAGAACCAATATATTAGTTACTAAGAACAGAATCAACATAATATTTAAAACAAAGTGTTGCACGTGCCGTACCTTTACATATATTGTTTAGTTTACATAAGAAGCAGGAATTTGCACTTGTGTTAAGTGTACTGAATGACTCGCGTGAATACTTATAGAAATATGTTCCCTGAAGTTTAAGGAATCTATGCATGTCAGTATTTTTATGATTTCTTAAAGTAAACTTTGTATAAATGGAAATGTGTGTTATTAATTTTTAACCTCACGTAAATGTTCATTCCGCACGCCTAACCAAACATTAAGTGACACTTGACAGAGTTGTCAATGTAACGTCTATATGATTGGTGATCAGTTGGTGACTGGTTGGTGATCAATCGTTAAGCACGAATAAAAAATAATTCATGATGATTACCAATATGTCTATGTATTTTAAGTCTGTTCTAAATGCAACCCAAGAAACTAATATCTGTAAAGTAATTAAACTTTATCAGGGCATAGTTTGACTGTTGAAATTCTGGTTTATACATACTTCTTCTTCTTGACTGGCTTTACAACTAGGTGTGAGTCTTCGCCGCATCCACTTCTACAATCTTACGTTTCCATTAATTCATGAAAGTACAAGCTGAATAGATACATACTGCAAATTATGAATTACTTTTAAATTAAGCCACATTTTTACAAATCTGAACACTCTCTAGTAATGTCAAATGTCATAATTAAAGCATAATCTGTCAAAAATCACTCAAAAATTAAATTCAATGTGACGAAGTAGGAAGTATGTATTAAAATATAATTTTTTAAATGTTAAATTAAATATGTAGAAACAAATAATGTTTAGACTTGAATAACATATCATTTGTAGGATTTTTACGCTGAAACTTTTACTTGGAATTATATCAACCTTTATTTTTTGTGAACATGGATGCACCGAAAACTTCTGATATTGTTCTTCTCTCTGGTAATTCTCATCCAGAATTGGCGAATTTAATTCATAAACGATTAGGGGTAAAATCTAGCGGATGCGCTGTCTACCATAAATCTAATCGTGAGTCAATGGTCCAAATAAATGATTCTATAAGAGGAAAAGATGTATATATAATTCAAACAGGAGCAAAGTGAGTATTTAAGGTTTCCTTTTAATATAAGGTATCAATTATCTACGGTTAAACACATTAATAAAGCATGTTTGTTAATGGAATTAACAGATTTTCACACTTTTGTAGAGATGTTAACAACAACATAATGGAGCTGCTTATAATGGCATATGCTTGTAAAACTTCATCAGCAAAATCTATTGTTGGAGTGATTCCTTATCTACCATACAGTAAGCAGTGCAAGATGAGGAAGAGAGGTAGTATTGTCACAAAATTGTTAGCTCAAATGATGTGCAATTCTGGGTTAACACATATTATAACAATGGACCTACATCAAAAAGAAATCCAAGGATTTTTTGATTGCCCAGTAGATAACTTGAGAGCAAGTCCTTTTCTTCTTCAGTATATTCAAGAAAGTGTAAGTTTTGTGTATTTTATATATCAGTAGAATTATGGCAATCAGTAAAACAAGATGTTTTAGATCATTTCGGAAAAGATTCATATTGCATCAATTAATATTTTGTGGTCTTAGTAGTATTGGCTTTGGAAGCTAGCCCATTTTCCATGATAAAATCTAAATATATATAAATCACTTATATTTCAGAAACAACCTAAGTCACATTTGGACAGTTTGCAGGAGATGAAAAAAACCTTTTGAGAGTTTATCTGAACATGTTCACTAAAAGTGAAGTTTGAAGTTAATAGATTATACCTAATGTAAAAATTTATTAAAAACAAAAGTATTCTAAATCATTACTATACTCTTTAAATAAACATTTTTAAAATGGACTTAGGTTGTTTTAGTAATGAAATGTCAGGTTTCAAATCAAAAGTATTTATTACTAAACAATTTTAGTACCCATACAGTTTATTTTGAGACTTCCTTGGATTCTTTCTTAATTACTGTTATTTGAATATTTTTGTAAAATGATTTGAATGGTTACTCCACCCATTAAAGCAGTGTGGTCAGATTTTCTTTTTTGGCCTCTAGTATTCCAATTGAGTCTTTATATGTTTTTCAGTTGGCATTTTAACTGTGACATTGCTTGTTTTTGGAATAGAAACATTGAAGGTACAACATCTTATACCATTAATGTATTCACTAGCTTGAATACTGCCTGGAGCATCAACACTCTAGATAAGAAGATGCAATTTGGAAATTAAGAACAAAATTTGTTGGTCCCTTGTTAACTTCTGTGTCTCAGTTGATGCACATGCAGACTTATAATACCTAGGCAAACAGTCTTTAAAATTTATAATACATTTCCTTTTAATTTTACAGGCCCTGAATAGGTTTTGGGTACTTAAGGTAACAATAATCTCCATGTACATGTCTTTCTAGGTATAGTCACTTAAATTGTTCCCAAGAATGTGAATTAATTTTATTCTTACGTTGAGGAATTGTTTTCCATTGATCAACAAAGCTGGCTTTATAATAAATTTTACCTTCTGATTTCTACCTCAAAGCACGAATTTCTGTAACTTTTTGTATCTTGTATCATTTTTACCTTTTCCTGATCTAATTGTTTTATAGCGCTGAATTGAATCAAAATTTTTGAAAAAAATCATGTGTAAAATATTTGACTTGGTAGGGATCAGGCTTTTGTCTTGCTTTTAGACAGATAGGTATGTAATTCGCTGGTAGATTAATTACTTTATCTTTTAGTTTTTGGTCAAAGGTTGCATGAACCAAATCAACATCCATCTGTGTATGACCAGGTTCAAGATATTTTTGCTCTTTATTACATTATGAATAATTGCTAGATTCAACAAAACATTGGCTATAACAGCGTTTCTATTTTGGTACAAACAATCATCCGAATATATTATAATGGTGCTTCTTTCATCAATCCCTCCTACAGAATGAGGGACACTGGGTAAAATTTTCTGTTCAATGAAATACATCTAACTACTGGCAAATTCCTCATAACCAAGACCTCCTTCACATTCATTCCATATGAAAAAATAGGCATCGGAATTCACTTGTGAGATTCACAGAGATTGTGTATTTGGAGCTTAATTTTATAGTATAATGTGGAGACTTTTGAGTTTGGTGCTATCAACACGGCTTGCAAAACTGCTGTGAAAACATTATGTTTCTCATTTTTATCTTTTTCATATTCTTCTTGCTTTTACTTTCCTCTGTATGTGATTTTTAAATTCTTCTTCCGAAAGGTGTCCAACCCTATAACTAACACACTTTCACATTTATCTTTTTTATGGCAGAAAAGTGCAAAGTTCTTCTTATCTCATTTGCACCAAATTGACATACTCTTTGTAAACACTTTGCAAGATGATAAAAACTCATTTTGACTAAAATGTGGACTTAGCAGGTTAACACTTTAAGGCGATGATATATTGTTGAGTCTTTATTAATTCTAATTTATTGTTCTTAATTTAATTTACTAAAGGTCCAATATTTATAACACTCACGAATTTATCAAAGTCTTTATTTACTACTAATTTATTTTACAAATAACTTATTTACGTGCGATACAATTTAAACAAACCTGAAATTGCGATCTTCTTTTCTTGACTGGATTCTAGGTAGGTTTTTACCTGGAATTTCTACCATTAGGTCAAAACTAGAACATATAATAATTAAACAACATGTTTACAGGTTTTTTTTAAATATGACTAATTTTTACATAACAATATTTAAGGCATTCCAATATTGCTATTACTTCTGTAGAGTAGACAGACATATTGTTATTTAATGGAACTGTATTATAAATGTCGTCATCAAAACTTAAAAGCAATGCCTCTGTGATTTTGGAGGCATCTTTGGAAATGCAAGAATGGTGTGGAAATAAATTATTTATAGTCAGCAAATACTTTCTCTTTAATTTGACTAGGAATTTCTTATTAAGAGTAACACTCTGTTTTAAACAATGTGTGTATATCATATAATGGGTTGATATTATTTAACATGTAAATTGAGTATGCTTTAATTTAAACTTTATATATGAAGTATGGGGAGCCATGTTAATGGTATGTAAACAAAGTTTGTCAAAACACTAAACCTGTGTTGCTTATAGTTAATAGATTAATGTCTGAGATGTTTTGTGCTTCCAATATTCTTGAGTTAAGTTAATTACATGTAACATTTGGTTTTTTTCTATTTTTTTTTTGTAGAGTAAATTTTTATTTGCATAAATGTTTAAACATAATTGAGCTAATAACGTCACATTATTAATTAGATTAAATATATATATATATATATATATATATATATATATATATATATATATATATATATATATATATATATTGACATCACACATTTAAAATATATTAACATTACAAATTAAATATGCTGATCAAGGAGAAGGATAGGCCAGGCACTCCGCCACAGTATAAGGCTCAATGTCAACTAGATGTTGAAAAACCTTTATTTAAAAGCTCTATAGTGTGTTTCCTGTTTAATGTTAGATGGTAGACTATTATAAAATTTAACACATATTAGATTACTATTTTTCTCAACACTGCACTTAGAAATTTTGAAGCCACAATTATTAATCTCTGATAATTAGTTGGGTTTTCTGCAGCTTTCGAATATATAAGCACTCAAGCTTCTAAATATAGTGACTTATTTACTACCTGATATGATACAATACCAGACTTGAAGCTTGATGATAAAAAGTAGATGCATTATCTAATGTAGATCTTGTCTATGATCTGAATAGCAATAGTTCAGTATTTGTGTCTGATCCCTAGGAGGTTTTACAGGTTTTAATTTTTTAAAAAGATTATTTGGTTCTTGACATCTTTCTTCCAAATTAATACATGATGCATTGATACACAGGTTGGTCAGAACCCCACAGCTTTGCCAAAACATCAGAATAGTTAATGAGTAATTTTTAAAATGTCAACTATTTGTCAAACTATTATATTAGTAAATACACTTAAAATGAGAAACTATTTTACGATTGTTTAAATACACTTAGTTTTAAGACCACTGCAACACACTAAAATACATAAGAAAACATTTTAATACAAAATTATATATTCTAAATTTTAAACTTACCTCCTTTAGAGCATTAATAGTAAAAACTTCCCGCCATTATTTCTTGTTCAAATTAATCTATCTTATATGAAAGCTTATCAGTTTTCTACAGACGATTTAGTCGTTTTGGCATAGCACAATCACAATACACAACAGTAATTAGTCTTTAAAGCTATTAATCTAAATTTAATATGTATTTATAAATACAATTTATTAATATATAATATATTATGATCATATTGTGTTAGAAATCAAAATATAAACAAAATTCTTACTCTCAAAAAGCGGCAACACTTTAAACAATTTTGCCACACGCTGAACTGTCATTAAAATTTGAAGTATTCTACTGTACCTCAAAAGTTTTTAAGTTATTGGTGCTTTGTTTTCAAAAGAGGTCTGCTTTTTCACAAAGAAGTTAAAACAGGATTATTTTATTTTCTCTTTCGTATATTGTATAGTTTTTCTCGCGAATTTGAGTGCAGCTGATACCCTCTAAAACAAAGTTAAAATATTATCAATATTTTTAATTGAAATTGAAAAAACCAAGAATAAAATTCTAAAGTTAATATTAATAATATATATGCTTGTCATCATTAAAGCTTTATAATAGTGTACATTTGAAAATTGTATTTTTTGTACCTCTTGAACAGGTGACAAAGGTTCCAACGATCCTCAAAACAAGTTCTTATGCAATTGTGAGGTAAGAGTTTGTCCAGACATAATGTAAAAAAATCAAAATATTTTCTTTTTGTCATTTCTTTCACTTTTGCGGAAACGTAAACAAAACTATTTCTTAACTGTGTGTATGAGTTTAACTTTGTATGTAAATTAATGGCAAAATAAAATCCACTTACCATAAAATTTCTAACTCCAATATGTTGTGTAATAGTTATGAAAACAACTATTTGTTTAATATAAATAACTTCCAAGTGCAAAACAGGTCAAAAAAACAACAAAAATTCAAATAACTGACAGCCACAAGTAAACAAATAAGAAACGTCACAAATTGTACGTAAAATCTGAAAATGTCCCCAATCATCTTTTTTGTACCTATATCTTTTCGACGCACTGAGTCTAGAGTGTTCATAAAAATAACATGTGTCTTTACTTAATAACAGTTGGTAGCTAGTTTGTCGTTAGTTTCATGCGTGGAAGACAATAATGCTAGATAAAAAGTATGTGTTTTATATTGCTAGATATTAATGACACACAGGTAAAGAACCATGGACTCGACTGTATATGAATGTATTGCGATATAGACAAAGGGAACAATGAAACAGAAATATGAAACTACCGTTTTTCTATGTATTTAGATGATTTGGATTTGCCAAAATAAATCAATTTGATTATTCTGTACTCAGTTTGATTTGTATCTTATTTATTGTGATACATGTGTTTTATTATAATATAATTTAAAGATTCCAGATTATCGTAATTCAGTAATAGTAGCAAGAAATCCAGCTGCTACTGGTAAGGCCACTTCATATGCTGAACGTCTTCGTCTTGGTATAGCTGTTATTCATGGAGAACAGAAACAGTCTGATTCTGATGAAGTAGATGGAAGATATTCCCCACCTACCTTACCAAGATCACGTACTATGGATGCAGGAGTAGGTGTGCCTGTACATATTGCTAAGGAAAAACCTCCGATAAATGTAGTGGGTGATGTAGGAGGGCGAATAGCTATCATGGTGGTAAGTTACAGTGATACTTTAACATGATTATAATATTGTTACGTAATTAAACTAACTTAATTCTTAATACTGTTCTTAATTTTTAGGACGACTTAATAGATGATGTCCAATCTTTTGTAGCAGCTGCTGAAGTTCTTAAAGAACGTGGAGCCTATAAGATATATGTTTTGGCAACCCATGGTCTACTTTCGTCTGATGCTCCACGTCTAATAGAAGATTCACCAATTGATGAGGTAAATTGACCACCAAAAACTCGCATAGTTGTTCAATTTTTTAATCTGTAGGTAATCATTATTTCTTCCTCTTCATCCGTATGGAAGTTCTTATATTTAGATTTAACCTCCAATTTCTACCTAGGATCAATGGAGTTGCTTATAACTTCGTTTTTTAATGGGACACCCTGTATTTTTTAAATTTTAGAAATATTCATGTTTTTCTGGACATTTTTTGTTAATATTCGCTATACCTATTGTAAACCATTTTTGAGTTATAATGGTTTTTATATGAAAATTACACTTTTCTCCATGTATATAAAGTTCAATATCCTCGAATGTAATTTGAATAAAAGTTTAAATTCCTTAGGAACTTATTAATCACATTCAGCATTATCGTTTACAGTATAAAGTTGCCTTTTCCATTATACAGGGTACTGTCAAAATTGACATAAAACCGGCCTCCTAAATTTTCCTCTAATTAATTTTTTTAAATGGGACACCCTGTATGTGATTCATTATTTTAGAAAAATATGTTTTTCACTATCGATCTGTATTAGTATTTCCTATACTTATCTCTTGCAGTTTTCAAATAAATTAACTTTCAAATAAATTTAAAAAAAATTCATGACTACAAAAAAATCGAATATTTTTTTGGGGTCACTATTAATTTAAATATGGTCACATTTTGAAAACGAAATATATGGTCATTAGCAGAAACCCTCCAGAAAACCCGATAATATGCATAGGTGACAATCGTATAAATCGCGTGAAAACTTTTAAATACCTTGGCACCACAATCAATGACCAATCGGATCCACAACACGAGATAAAAACCCGAATACAAATGGCAAGACAAGCTTTTGTGAAATTCAGACCGCTCCTATGTAATCAACACCTAAACTTCGAAATACGCTACAGAATGGTCAAGTGTTACATATGGTAAATCTTGCTTTATGGTAAGGAAACGTGGACTTTGAAAAAAAACATCTATCAATAAACTTGAAGCATTTGAAATGTGGTCATTGAGAAGAATGATGCGCATACCTTGGGTGGATAGAGTTCGAAACGATGACGTCCTTAATAGAGCCGGCGTGGAAAGAGAACTCTTTGAATTAATTAAAAAACGCAAGATTGGTTACCTTGGGCACATATTGAGAGGAGCAAAATATGAAATACCACAGTTAATCCTACAAGGGAAGATCGAAGGTAGGAGAGGAGCCGGCCGCAAACAATTATCCTGGTTAAGGAATATTAAGAATGGACAGGAATACACAATACAGGTGAGCTGTGTCACGCCGCCAAGAACAGAATTCTAGTAATGAGATAGTCGCCTACGCACTTTGGTGTATGGCATGTTAAGAAGAAGATTAATTTAAAATAATTTATCATAATGTCATGTCAATAATGTCATACTTAAAATAAGAACATCAATTAAAATTTTCCAGATCTATGCCCCCACGACAGCTTATGATGATGAAGATATCGAATTATTTTATGAAGATATATCACAGGCTATGGAAGAACATAAAAATCGTCTTACACTAGTAATTGGAGATTTCAATGCTGAACTGGGTAGAAAACTAAATAAAGAAGATACTAAAATAGGAGAATCAGAGAAATGATAGAGGTGCTACTTTGATGAACTACCTAGAAGAAAAGCATCTATATCCAATGAACTCCTTTTACAAAAAGAAGCCCCAACGAAAATGGACATGGATCAGTCCTAATGGATCCACAAAAAAATGAGATCGACTACATTCTGTCCACGGAATTATATATCATTAAAGATGTAACAGTTCTTAACAGATTAACAACAGGTAGCGATCACAGGATGGTTAGAGCAAAAACTAGTATTGACGGTATTTATGAAATGAAAAGAAAAATAATTAGAAACTGGGATCTAGTAAATAGAAACAAACTAAGGCAATATAAAGAGATATACTCAAATAATATACATAAATTAATACAATATAATATATACAATAATAAATCAACAATTAAAGTATATGAATTAACACAATCAATACAAATAAATAGGACGTGAGACAGGGTGACACAATATCGCCGAAACTTTTCAATCAGGCTCTGGAAGATTAGAATGGGAAGAAAAAAGTATAAAAATTTGTGGACAACCCATGAATCATCCAAGATACGCTGTTGTTACACAAGAAGTTGCAAATTTGAAATGGAGATTTGCCAGACACAATCTGATGAAACAAAATTCTTATAAGTTGGAGACCATGGGAATATAAACGAAGCAGAGGAAGGCCCCAAATGAGATGGGCAGATGATATCAAGAAGCATGTGGGCTCTAGGTGGATGGCAGTAGAGACTGACAGAGAAGAATGGAAAAGGATTGGGGAGGCCTATGTCCAAAGATGGACCGAAGAAGTCTAATTAGATAGATAGATAGAAAAACATAAAGTTGTTCATTAAACATTGTTAAAATAAACTCTTCGTCACAATAAACGACCTGGTTGACCAGAATTTATTTTCAAAAAAATATTTAAAGTTTAAAAAAATATTCGATATTTTGGTGTATGTACATAAATATATATTATAAACTTCTTTTTTAGGTGGTAGTCACAAACACAATTCCCCATGAGCTGCAGAAAATGCAGTGTCATAAGATTAAAACTGTGGATATATCAATATTGCTCTCTGAAGCTATTAGAAGAATTCACAACAAGGAATCCATGTCATATCTATTTAAGAATGTTACATTGGAAGACTAAATCTTCATATATTGAACAAAAAAATTCGGTATTATTGATTTTTTAGGAATATAGTATGCAATTAATATAAAATAAAAACCAATAAATTTCATGACTAACTCAGAATTAACAACTTATAGTACTAAATGTTATCTACAAAGTTAGTTCTGCCACGATCGTTATGTAACAATTATATTTTATTTATTTGACATCAAAAATATCGCTAAGATGAGACAACAGTAGTTAAGCCATGAAGTAAGCTGTTACAGAAAATACCTGATGTTCGTGCAAATAAAACATATAAATGTTAAAGAGAATTTGAGGACATTAAAGATTAAACTTGTATATTTGAAGATGTCGTATGTATTGGTTTTTATTTAGTATGAAATGCATATTTAAATTTATATATAAGAGCTTAAGTTCATTTAGGAGGACATGGTTGACATAAAAAATATTCATTGATCATTAAACAGGGCAAAATAATTTGTAGGAAATCTAGATCCTTCACAAATCTGATTTGGTCGTAAAAATATGGATTCAACATTAACAAATTTAGAGATTATTATTTAGAATTGTGTTCATCTGAGTGTTTTGACAAAACTTACTTTGTAGTCTGCTGCTCATATAACTTCTTCCAAACCTAGCCTAGTCCATTATTTGATGTTTCTCATTCCAATGCCGCGTGGTCTTTCTATTTTACCTTTTATAATTAATTTGGGATGTAATATTTTTCTTGTTTTTATCACTGATACGAGTTTTCTCTTTATTTAATTGCTGTGGAACTTCATTTGAAATTTTTGCTGTCAAGGTTTTTTCCTGAATTTGAAAGGTATTTTTTTGATTTGGCCATAAACTTACACCGCGAAGACTTCTAGTTCTTTACACTCAGTCTTTAGGGCCCATGTTTGTCCATAAAGTAGTCTTAACCATATTATCCTACAGATTTTAGTCTTAGCTACATATTGAAATGTGAATCGAAAAACTCAGTCGAATAAAACTATTCCTGGATTGAGATCATTTCAAACTCGTTGCATGGTTTAAGATGTTTTGTAATCCTTCAAATGAGTTCGGTAAATTCTATGTCATCTGATGCTTCATATTTGGAACCATCAAGTTTTATTCCCACCACAGTGACTGCTGAATAGTATTTTGAAGTACAGGTTAAATAGCAGCAGGTACTAATCATTTTTCACACGGTCAAATGTTTTTTCTAAAACTATAAAGCACAAAAACACATATTTTTGGCACTTTTAGCGAAATCTTTTGAGAGGCAAGAGAGCATACTTGTCACCATACCTTTTCAAAATCCAAACTAATTATTTCCTATTTCTTTTTCACATATTTTATTTACCATATTGTGAAGTATCTTTAATAACGTTTTAAGAATCTGACCGATAAAAACGTCTAATACATACTAAACTTTATTGAGTTGAACATTATACATTGATTTTATCGCTTAATCACTAATCAAAATTTTTATTGCTATATAAACATATGAATAACTTTAAACAGCGAGGTTTTGTTAGAAATATGGACGAAGATATATATTTAATATCACAAAAATGAACAAAAAATACGTATATACGACAAGGAATCAGTATCGTATATGCTTATACTATGCAATGTTTAACCTCTGGAACTGAACCAGTCACTCTATCAGATTTGGGCGAGGCAAGTCTAGATGTAATAGCACTTCTACACGCACTTAATTTAATTGTACTATTACATTGACTCCATTTATTTCTTAGATTTTATGAAATGCTTTTTCGAAATCCACGAAGCAAGTAAAAATCTAATCTCTGATCAAACATTGTGTTGGCGTGTGTGTGTTTTCTAGTCCCGAGTATATTTCAAATTCCAAATCTTTCAGTCTAAAGGAATCATTTATATACAGATTTAGATACAAAGGATACCCTGTTTCTTTTTACCAATGTATATGCTTAATTTACTTGCCTCTTCATTTGCTTATCATTTCACAGCCGCATAAGCATTATTACTTTATTGGATATAAACTATCGTTTTTTTTTTTTAGTTTAGTACATCAATCTTTACCTGTAAATGCCGGAATTCAATCAAGCTTTTTCGATTGTTTTTATAAATTTTACTAAGAACAAGCAATTACTACATTCATCAAAATTGCTACGCTTTTGGTACATATATATGGCTCCTACAAATATTCCATGAATTTTACAATTGTCCCATTAGTTGTAGCCTTTACTGATATTTATTTTTATAGTTTATTCTTTAATGTCAAACTAAAATTTTTAATTTTTTTGCGTTTTTTGTTTGTAATAGTGATATTTTCCTCAATAATTTAATAGTATACCGAATTTTATTTTTAGTATTAGAAGTGTGTATTATATTTTACCTATAGTATGTTTGTAAGACTGCTGGTTTTATAATCTTAAGAATAAGTAAACAATTATCTTATCTGGTGTTTTATTTGTAACTATTTATTCTTTTTCGAAAGAACTCATGAGTCACTGTAGCTACTATCTGTAACTAATATAAATAAATGACATTGATTTAACTGTGCTAGACACCAAGAGGTAATAGGAAAATGCAGGAGAACAGCACAAATTCATCACAAAGTATATTTTTGTAAAAGGCTCTGGTACAAAGACGGCTTTAAAGTAGCAGAAAGAATTGGGTTGAAAAACTAAATACTTAAAAAAACCCTTTACAACAACAACTAGGTAAGAGTTAAAACCGGCAATAAATACTCCAACGAATTTAAGACCACAAAAGGCTTATTACAGGGATGCTCTACATCTCCGACACTGTTCAAGATATTCCTCAAACAAATATTAATACCATGGGAAAGGAAATGAGAAGGGATGGGAATACCAATCCGGGACAATTTCTTGTGCACATTACGCTTTGCAGATGACCAAGTGGTAACGGCTCAAGATGAAGAAGATCTGTGCTATATGCTCCGAAAATTAGAAAAGGAATATACAAAAAATGGACTGGAAATAAACCTAGAAAAGACCGAATATTTACCAACTGAGCAAGAACCAGTGAGAAACTTGGAAATGGACGATTATAGGGAAATTAACGTCACTGAAAAATTAAATTATTTAGGATTCATACTTTCAAAAATGGAACCACCGAGCAAGAGATAACCAACAGATTAGCACAGACAAGAACATGTGTTAAACAAATGAACGGGGTACTGTGGGATAGACAGATTACCAGAAATACAAAGATGATAATTTATAACACCTTGGTACGCAGTATAATGACCTATGGAGCAGAGAATTGGGTAATAAATAAACGAAACAGGTCCAAAATCACAGTAACTAAAATAGAGTTCATGAGAAGAAGCTGCAGAGTGCCAAAAATAGATCACATCAGAAATGAGGAGATCAAAGGAAAAATGTCAATAGAACAAGACATACTTAGTTACATCGAAGAAAAACGTTTAATTCGGTATGGACATGTCAGAAGAACAGATCATACAAGGTGGATAGCAAAGATTTCGGATTAGAGCCCAATAGGAAGGAGGAAAAGAGGTAGACCCCTCTAAAGATCATGGAGGGATAAAGTGTACGAGGTCATGGAAAGACGAGAACAGAAAGGACTGGAGACGTTGGCTGAAAGAAGGAAGGCGGCGACAGCTGTAAAAATCCTTATATAGATAGATAGACTCAAAAACTGCGACAAAATGCCAAACGTCTTTCAAGCGAAATCTCACGTTATTTAAAGATATCCCACGTTAAACTTTGAGAAAAAGATATCATGAACAAGAAGTTGTCATTATGCCAACAAGCAACCACTAAAATCACATGTGATCATCCCCAAAGTGATGTGGGAATGCCTAGGGAAAGTAAATTAAGCAAGTAAAATTTAGTTATAGTCGCCACCAAATTATTGTAGAATTTATTATGAAGTCGTTTGTTTTTTGTGGGATTACTAACAAAATCAAGTAGCAAATATAACCATAAATAAATAGTCCTTTGTTTATGGTACATACCTTTTGAAACTTATCGACACTACTTGAATACAATTGACTTCTTAATAAGCTTAAGATAAGGTTTTCTGCAATAATTTGTTGGCAACTATACCTTAAATTGGCCAAAAATAGGTTAAAAACACTTCTGATGGAACCGGTGTAACGTTAAACTTTTACTCTAAGGGTAAAACTATATCAATATTATAATTTACTTATTCTGTCTGTCTATCTACAAAAACTATTACTAATTTTAATAATATATATTATACGTCATATCGTCGGCTGTATGGAATAGTGGCTTAACTAAAAATTTGATAAAATCGAGTTAACATCGCCAGAGGGCTTCAAAAAGCCTTATTTATGACCTGCACAATAATAATAGCAAAAATGTCCGCTGGACGTCATTAGTATCGCTATGACCTGTTGTTGGTTGAGATAAATTGTTTCTTGTAGTACTGGCCCTTTTTAGTTGTGTAGTGGTAGTCGAATCGTGTCAATATCAAGTTTCTATGCAATACCGACACTTTTGAGTTGTGCCACTATAGCAGGCAATTTTAATATTTTCAAATTGTATCAGTCAGAATTTTGGAATTGTGTCCCACTAAATAAAGGGAATAAATTTATTGTTTTAAAAATGTTAGATCCATAGGGATATCAGAAAAGAAGTGACTTAATCCTATCTCGAGCAGGAGTAACGTAAGTAATAATATCAATATTATTTTAATGTATTCTACAGTATTCACTGCCTTCCCTCGCTCAACCGTTTCCATCTCTCTCTCTGTTGTCCATTCTCAATCGTTTAGACATCTCTTACTGATGGCGTCGTCTACTTCGTTCCTCCAGGATCTTCGGAGTCGTCCTCTTTTCCTCCTTCCTATGGGGCTCCATTCGGTTATTCTCTTTATCCATCTGCTGTGGCTAGTTCTTCTTACATGTCCATACCATTTTAGTCTTCTTTGTTCTATATATGTTAGTATGTCTGTTTCTATTGATGTTCCTTGTTTTATTTCGTCATTAGTTCTTCTATCCATTCTTGTTACTCTGCATCATCTTCGCAGGTATTCCATCTCTGTTGCTACTATCTTACTGCTGTTTTTCTTGTTTATTTTATAAATCTGTGTTTTTGTCTTCATATTTAGGTGTATATTCCACAATACTGAGTTAAGTTGTCGGATTGATGTTCTTGTTTGTCCTAATCTTTGCGTAATTTCTTCCTCTGTTTTTGCCTTTTTCGTAATTATAAACCCCAAGTATTTAAATTTATATTATTTCCTTTGATTGTTACGTTGTCATCAATCTGTAGATCTTCTATGCCTTCGTCACTTGTAGATAGGTACTCTGTTTTCTCGAGGTTAATATCTAGGCAAGCCTTGGTATTTTCTTCATCATGTAGCTGAAGTCGTCTTGGTCTTGTGCAATTACTACTTGGTCGTCTGCAAAGCTTAACGTATATAGGTATTCGTTCCGTACCGGTACTCCCATGCCTTCGCATTTTCTTTTAAATGTAGTCAAGGCTTTCTCTAAGTATATTTTGAATAGGGTTGGAGATGTGGAACACCCTGCAGGAGCCCTTTTGTTGTTGTGAAGTCTCCTATGATTCTTGTTGAATCATAGGAGACTTCACGACATTCATGCCATCTCTTTGATGGCATCTCGTAATCGTTCGATAAGGCTGATCAGTATCTACGTCTGGTTTAGAATATATTTGTATTGATATAATTGTTCTCTAGCTGTAAATTTATTATTCTCTCCGATATAGGTACTACGTTTTTAATGCAGTTTGCTTAAAACTATTAAGTTTAAGAATACAGTTTCATTATTTTGCTAATAAGTGTTTTTTTCTCCTAACTTATATCCCATACATTAAGTAATTACTTTAGAATTTTCATACATTTATTACGCTGCACCATATCAAGGACCATTCCATTTTCGATGAAATACTCAACATTCATATTAGGATATATTTGAACTAAAACTTACATACTGAATTAAGCCTCTAATATACCAATATCATTTTTGAAACCGAATTGCATGACGGGAAATAAAAATAAAGACAAACATGAATAATTTAAAAATGAATTTTGTAATTAAAATAAACCTCATAATAGTACTATCACAGTTTCTTAAATTACTAATATACTAACATAACTAACATACATAAAAATTGAATCTAAAATTAGTGTAAATCAGCAACACTAACTATTTTATTAGCTTCAAATGCTTTAGAGCTTTCATAATTACTATTTGTTTCTTGTTCATGATTTTGAAACTCGTTGTCATCAATGTCACTAGATTCTTCAGAAGCAACACCAATAGATCTTTTATGTAATTCTAGTGTTAACAATTCGATCTGTTCACGTAACAAAACAGCCTCTGATTTTTCTTCATTATATTTTTTGCGATAGCTACAAATGAAAATATAGATTAAAATTAAATTAAAAAATTAAAAAGAATAAAATCAACTCATGAATAAAATTATAACCAATCAAGACTTCCATAAATTACATTTCACGTGCCATTACACTTCATATTACATTGATAAAATTAAAATTGAATAGATTAAAATGAAAATTTAAAAACTGAAAAAAAAAATTTAATTTGAGAAAGAACTTAATGAAATTAAGAACTTAATTATTAATTTAAATAATTATATCAAAAATAAAAGTAACCGTAAACTGCGAAAGTATCATGCACATATAGAGATAATCACAAAATAGATATATTTAGGTCAACAATTTACTATAATATAGAGGCAAATCAATCAAATAAAAATAAACCAAAGTTCTGATTCAAAGTTCAAATAAATCAAAGAAAAGTAAATTCTTTAGACTTCGTCTAAGGACTAGCAACCTCAGTGGAGTCCTACGTTGCCATGTGACCAATCCCTTTTATAACTTAAACATCGCAGTTTTGAAATATCATACATACATATCATAGAACTACATATAAAGGATTTTTACGCACATATTTAGTGGCTTCAAACATGTACATCCAGATAGCACTAATGATGGAATATTTATTCCGAAATAATTCTGTGATGTAGCCCGATAGGCTTTTTTAATAGTATACCTTTTATAAAAGAAATGTTTTAAATAAACATTTTTGAATTCGATTTCGACAGGTTTTTTTAACATTTTTCCTTTAAAGACACTTTCACAGAACAAAATCAAAATTATTCACACAATGTGTTCTCTGCACTATGACATACCCTTCGAAACATGGTTTCTTACAAAAACTAAATAGAAATCCACAGTAATCCAAAGAAAAACGAAAAGATATATGCTTTTTGTAGGAATTTGTACCAAACCAGCTAACAATTTCTACAAAAATTTGTTTTTGAATGTTTGATGTTTGATGAATATCTCGAAAAGTTTCATTTAGTATCTAGTACAAAAATGGATTAAGGTTAAATTATTCTCTGTAAATAAATTTTCTACAAAAAGATTCTTGTGTAATTAGTTACAAAAAATTTAAGGGCGTAAAAATGAAAATTCGATAAAAAAGTTGTAAAAATAATGTTTTAGAAATTTGTTTGTAGCAAATCAGAAAACTCTTTTTCGGAAGTATCTTAAAATTGGCTGTGTATAATTTAAAGATACCTTTGAACCTGTAGTTTTTTAAAGCTATCAAAGTCGCATTTTTTATTCAAATTTAATTTTATTACAAAATATTTAAAATTTAATAATTGTATAATTATCAATATATAAACACATATGTATTTTTTCAATTTGTTAAGAATTGTGTAAAAAATTATACATAAAAAACTATCTAGATTTTAGTTTAGATTTAAAGCAAAAAAATTATTAGTTCATTGTTAATTTGCAATTTACTAAACCATTTGAAATTAATGTTAGTTCAATCCATTACCCGCTTAAGCATTCTGTTAAAAAGGAACAGTATATCGGGTTCCTGGAAAACGTTAAAAGAGATTTATTATTGGAAGAAATTTCAATGCGAACACACACTGATGCTCTAAGATAACTACCACTAAGGGTAAAGAGTTTTTATTGGCTATTAAAAAACAGGTGTAAATCACTATCAACTTATATCAAATTATTGTTATCACTACAAATCAAAGAGAAATTAGATAAAGAAACAGAATTGTTGGTGCACAATATCCACCAAACAGCATGGGAAAACACTATAACACTGAAATCTAAAATAAAATAAAAATTATCCAAAGGAAGTAAGAAACATGATAACTGAAAATAGAAAGTCCAGAAGAATATGCAACAAACAAGGGTTCCCTAAGATAAGACTAAACTAAATAATGCAAGTTAACAGCTCAAAAGGACAAACCTTTAACTAAAAAATGATTAAATTAATTGTTACTTAAAACAGTTAATGAATGATGTCAGCACTAATTACTCTTTTTGGACAGCTACTAAAAGACTAAACAAACTAAATTAGATTACTACACTATACAATATATATATATATATATATATATATATATATATATATATACATATATATATATATATATATATATATATACATATAAGAAAAAAGAAGTACTTGTGACTCGTTTGGAAAAAATATAACACTGTTTTTGATGGGTTGGAGTCAATAAAAGGGGCTATTTGTTGACTATTTTTTACTCGAGCTTTCAATTGTGATTACAATTTTTATCAAGAGCTTCTAAAAATACAAAATATCTTACAAAGTTGAACTAGAAATAAATAATGTTGTTGTTAACTCACCAAATAAAATTAGTTATTTATATAAAACTGCTGCTAACATTATTACAAAAAATATTATTAAAAAAATGTTCTATTCTAATAAATGTTTCTCTGACAAATTTAGATAAAGTTTCTTAACAAAAAACAATTGGATTTATAAACAAAAATTGAATAGCTACAATTCAGCCTAAATGACGTAAATAACAACTTAAAAATTTTTATTTTTGACATATTGTCAAAAATAAAATTTTTGTTTAAAAATTCTTCTTTGTTTAGTAACAAAAAAGAAGAAGATTTATTCATCATTGATACTGGAATCAGACTGGAAGAAATCTCTCAAATCGCATTATTTCTCACAAGAGTGATTGTAGAATTAAGAAACCATCTTGTGCTTTGGCAGAGCATGTAATAGACAAAGACCATATTATGGATTTTGATAATATTAAAATTTTATGTAATGAAAGTAATAAATTTAAAAGAACTTTTTTGGAAATGGTTTGTATTAGCAAAAGTGATAATAATTTAAACAAAAGGTCAGAAATTCAAAATTTAAGCAAAATTTATAATTATATAATTTCTATTTAATTTATGCAGTCAGTAAAATATCACATTTTGAATTTTCCATGTATTTGTTACATTTTTTCGGGCATCTATCAATGATGAATAAATCTTCTTCTTTTTTGTTACTAAACAAAGAAGAATTTTTAAACAAAAATTTTATTTTTGACAATATGTCAAAAATAAAAATTTTTAAGTTGTTATTTACGTCATTTAGGCTGAATTGTAGCTATTCAATTTTTGTTTATAAATCCAATTGTTTTTTGTTAAGAAACTTTATCTAAATTTGTCAGAGAAACATTTATTAGAATAGAACATTTTTTTAATAATATTTTTTGTAATAATGTTAGCAGCAGTTTTATATAAATAACTAATTTTATTTGGTGAGTTAACAACAACATTATTTATTTCTAGTTCAACTTTGTAAGATATTTTGTATTTTTAGAAGCTCTTGATAAAAATTGTAATCACAATTGAAAGCTCGAGTAAAAAATAGTCAACAAATAGCCCCTTTTATTGACTCCAACCCATCAAAAACAGTGTTATATATACATATATATATATATATATATATATATATATATATATATATATATATATATAAAACTGTTTTGGATGGGTTGGAGTCAATAAAAGGGGCTATTTGTTGACTATTTTTTACTCGAGCTTTCAATTGTGATTACAATTATTATCAAGAGCTTCTAAAAAATACAAAATATCTTACAAAGTTGAACTAGAAATAAAAAATTTTTGTTAACTCACCAAATAAAATTAGTTTGTTATATAAAACTGCTGCTTACATAATAATTACAAAAAATATTAATAAAAAAATGTCCTATTCTAATAAATGTTTCTCTGAAAAATTTTGATAGTTTCTTAACAAAAAACAATTGAATTTGTAAACAAAAATTGAATAGCTACAAACCGCCTAAATGTCATAAATAATAACTTAAAAATTTGTATTTTTGACATATTGTCAAAAATAAAATTTTGTTTAAAAAATTCTTCTTTGTTTAGTAAAAAATTTTTTATTGGTAATTGTAATAACATTACACCCAGTTTTATAACAAAGATGTAAAAATAACAAATTTTGTACTATTTTATGGGTTTTTTCCCACATATTTAGTGGATTGTCTCATGTAAACTTGTTAGATGGACTGATCGGCTAGTAAGTCCGAAAATATTCTGTTGTAGCCCGAAAGGGTTTTTTATTATATACCTTTTATATAGAATTTTTAAATAAAATTTTTGTGATTTATGGTATACAGGGTGGTGAATCGTCAAACGGGTCATAGGAAATTCTAAATTGTTGAATTTCTGCTTCCCTAATTATTTTACATCAAAATTCATAAGAATCTATTTATAAAGGGCTGAAATATGTATTAAAAATAAATGTTAAAATTGTTCTACGAATTAAATGTATTCCAAAATTTTGTAAAAATATAATACATTTTTAGGCCACACCTTAAAGTCAGGCCACACGAGGTACAATAATGTGTACGACATGTTGCGTTTTTTATCATATTTATGTTTTTGATATTTGACAATATTTGAATTGCCAAAATTTTAATTTTGTGATTTATTGTTTAAAAAACAACATAGTCGATTAAAAAATGTATTCAGTTGAAGAGAAAGTAGCAATAATAAAAATGTTTTATTCAGGCAATAGTGCGCGAATTGTCAGTTTTTTATTTAGCGCAAGATATCCCAATAGACCAATTCCAAGTCATTCAACAATTCAAAGGATTTTACAAAATTTCGAAAATACTGGGACCGTGATTTCTAATTGTGCCTGTACAAACAATATTGCTGATGTACCAAAAAATTTAGAAAATAAAAATGAAATAAATGTATTATAGTGTATTTTTATGTATGAGAGAGTAATAAAACAATAAATTATGTATGCAAATCCCTAAACTGTTGATACGGGTGTCTCAATGAAAAACAGATATTTGTCAACAAGTTTACAGAAGTATATAGGAAAACAATTTTACATTGAGTATGAACACCAGGTATAAAGGTTGGAGCAGAATAGAATACAATAGTTGTGAGGGTTACTAATCCCTAAATAAGGTTGCCAGTGTCGGAGTGATGGAGGTTAACAGGTACTAATGAATTTGCAAGAAATGTAAGATGTTTATTTTATTGGTTATATATAACCAATAAAAGTTTAATAAGTACCTACCTATTTGTAAAATAAAGTTTAATTCTTTAGATAAAATAAAACGTTTTATTTTATCTGAAATGAGTGCATTCCACGAAATAAGGGTTTCAACAATCAAACATTTAATTCTTTAATTCCAGGAATCTACGACAGTAATTGACTAGATAATTTACCTTCTAAACTTATTCCACAGAAAATGTGATAGTGGGTTTTTCCATTTTGTAGGAAGGTCCAAGTGGCGTATTCAAAATTCTTAACAGTTCACTAAAAGTAGGTACTTCAGTTGCAAGGTGCAGTTTATTGTGTACTAGTGTTTTGGAAAATAATTTGGAAGTGTCGTGTAAACGCCGAAAAATTGGTCCTTTAACAGTTAATGAAAAAACATTAATATTTAATTGTTTTAAATCATTTACAGACAAACGTTTATGTGAAAGTGTTGATGAGACCGTTGAGTTAGTTAGCAGTACACTTGGTGTTGGGAAAGAAGGACTAAAGAAGGACTTCGACGGAAAGTGCATGAATTCTTGTTTAGACAAGAATTTCCAACATTGGATAAAGTTCTTGTCTCAGTTCGAGATGATAAGGATTACCCAGAAATGAGTCGAAGTACGTGATGGAAACTTTTAAAAGAAATAGACTTCCGCTGGAAAAATAATCCCAGAAAGTCTATTTTATTAGAAAGAAGCGATATTGTCATATGGAGAAGACATTTTCTAAGAACCATAAAGGAAATGAGAAACCAAAAAAGAAAAATATTTTATCTTGATGAAACATGGATCAACGAGGGTCATACACCAAATAAATTTTGGCAGGATGAAACTGTTACAAGTCAAAGGCACGCTTTTGTAAATAACTTATCCACTGGTTTAAACCCACCATCAGGAAAGGGACGCAATCTGATAATAGTACACATTGGCAGTTCAGACGGTTTTGTTGAAGGTGGTTTATTAACTTTTGAATCAACTCGTACCGGTGACTACCATGAAGACATGAACGCTGATGTCTTTCAAGAATGGTTCGAACAAATGATAGATCTTCTTCCTAAGAACTGTGTAATAGTAATGGATAATGCAAGTTATCACTCCAGACTTATAGAAGGACTGCCCACAACCAAGTGGTTAAAAAAAGACTTGCAGAATTGGCTGAGTTCAAAAAATATTACGTACCATCCCGGATCTATAAGAAAGGAACTTTATTCGTTGTGTGCCCTTCATAAAGAAAAATTTAAAAAATACGAAATTGATGAAATTGCCAAAAATCGTGGAATGACAGTACTTAGATCCCCACCATATCATTGTTAATTAAATTGATTGATTCGATTGTGATCCGATTGAACTGGTATGGGCACAGATAAAGAGTGAAGTTTCAAGAAAAAATACCACTTTTAAAATTCATGATGTTAAACAGTTGTTTTTGGAGGCCGTAAATAATGTAAAACCTGAAAACTGGGAAAAGGCAGTAAATCACACTATTAAAGAAGAGGAAAAAATGTGGAAGCTGGACAATATTACTGATAAAATGATCGAGCCAGTTATTATAAATCTTGGTTCTGAAAGTTCATCTTCTCAATCTGATTTGGATTTGTAACAAGTAGCTGTAAGTTTTATATTAATATTTTTATTCATCTATTTAACATACCTTAGACGGTTTTAAAAACTCTTTTTCTCTTTTGTAATTTTTAAAAATTAAAAAAAATGTGAATTTTTTAAAACCCTTTTGAATGTAGGCCAGTCAGTTCTAATATAGTGTGTGATAAAAGAGGTCACTTTTGTTTACATACACATAACACTTTATAACACTGAAATAATTCATTTATTTTTTACAATTATTCAAAGTAATTTTTCAATTAATCTTGAGCACGCCCATGGAGTGGTCGGAGATACCAGTTAAAATTATGCTAATTACTGTCTCGTTCATAAAAATAAACTATAACAAAAGTTGTAAAAAATCCTAGAATAAGTTCTCGGACCATTGCAGACCAGTTTAATATTCATAACTCTACGACCTTTAGAAAAATTTTGAAAAGGAATAAATTCCGTTCATATAAATTTCAATGTCATCAAGAACTAAGAGAATACTGAGATGCTGAGCGACGAGCGGAATTTTGTTATGAAATGTTAGAGAGGGCTAATGCAGACAAAACATTTTTAAAAAACATTTTTTTAGTGATGAAAATACATTTACATTAAATAACGAACCAAATGTTCAACATCATAGGATTTAGTTGACAAAAAAGCGTGAGGATATTATTGAAAGCCATACCAAATATCGTCGAAAAATAAATGCCTGGTTAGGAATATATAGAGACACAATATTATTTGACCATTTTTCTATGAGGAAAATTTAACTTCAAAAAAAGTTTTTAGACTTGCTACAAGAAGAAATTTTACCCAGACTTGTAGAAATAGGTCCAGGTGGAGAAGAAATTTGGTTTCAAATGGATGGTTGTCCTGTTCACAATAACTGGGAGGATAAGGAATTCCTTAAAAACAGCTTTAATAATTGTTTGATTGGACCTGACTGTAATATCGAGATCGGGAGATCTAGCTAAAAACGATTATTTTATCTGGGGGCATTTAAAATCAAAAATCTATTCTGACCAAAAATTTACAGATATTGAAGTATTAAAAATGCGAATTATTGAAGAGTGTACAAAAATAACGGCACGCATTCTGGCTAATGTTAGACGAGAATTTTACAATCGAGTAGGATACTGCTTAGTACAAAATGGCTTATTGTTTGAACATTTGTTATAGTTTAATGTTTGAAATTTATCATAAATTATTATTAGGAAGGATCACAGTAAAACTATATTAAAATTATTTGAATTGTTGTATAACCTGGAATTGAATTGGAGTGTACATATTATGATATCTTGTGTTAAATAAAGATCTGACAGTGATCTGACATATCGCACTATTGCCTAAATACAATATTATTGCGATTTTTCGTAAACTGAATACATTTCATCAATTTTATTGCTTTGTAAACAATATAATTTATTGTTTACAAAGTACTATTTAGTGTTCACTAGTAGTAGTAGTATTTGAGAAAATTTGCGTATTTTAGTATTTGTGTATAATTTAATCACAAAATAAAAATATTGACAATTCAAATATTATCAAATATCAGAATCATCAATATAACCAAACGCAACATGTCATACACATTCTTGTACCTCGTGTGGCCTGACTTTAAGGGATGGCCTGAAAAATGTATTATATTTTTATAAAATTTTGGAATACATTTAATTCGTAGAACAATTTTAACATTTGTTTTTAATACATATTTCAGTCCTCTACAAATAGTTTCTTATAATTTTTGATGTAAAATAATTAGGGAAGCAGGAATTCAACAACTTAGAATTTCCCATTGAATTTCCTATGGCCCGTTTTGCGATTCACCACCCGGTATATACAACTATAAGAACTTCATTTTCCTTGTGGACACTAGACAATCGTAACAAACCAGTTTTTAAACATTTCACTTGTTTTATAGAATACAAAAGTTATTTGACAACCATAATATCTATATTAATAGGTCTCTGTTTTCTGTCTTGAGTACTTATCTAACTAACAATCTCACATTTATAAGTTAAGTTCACATTAAAATAAGTCACATAAATCCCCTAGTATTTCTATCCACATGCTAAAAGATGTGAAAAAATACCACCCTTCGTTCGTTCTCTTTACTCAAATAGCTGTTTATCGTATCAGCAATAAATAATAATGAGTCTATTAGATTGCTGGTACTACTATACTTTAAATGGAGATGGGCGGAACACTTTCCCAAAATAGGGAGAGCGAAATATTATTTAAAAACCGTAACTATCTAAAGACTGAAAACACGTAAAAGAAACAGGAAAACCAAGAACAAGTATCCATTAGATGAGCGGAACTTTAAAGCACGACAAATTAAAAGAAATATAAATATGATGATTTAACGATTAAACAATTATTTTAAATTTTAATGAATATAGATGATCCATCATACCTTTCTATTTCCAATTCCATTAGTGTAAAATGCTCTTTTGCATCTTCTAATAAGTCTTCCTTGTCTTTTAATAAGTCTTCCTTGTCTTTTAATAAGTCTTCTTTGTCTTTTAACTCTTTTGTTAGCCCTCGCAATTTATCTGACATTTCACCGACAAGATTCTGGTAGTGTAAAATTCTATCTTCTAATTCTTTCTGTGATTTACCATTACGTTTTTTAGGTAATTCATCTTCTTCATCACTTGAACTGATGGTAATGATTTCCATTTCAGCAATTCTTTCTTCGTATTCTGCTCTTATTCTGAAAATTACAATACCACTTAAAATTGTTGATATATAGGTTAAAACGAATCATAATTTCTACTAAACCAAGATCTAAGATATGTATAAGATGTACATTTAGATAATATAAATATCTACTTAGTATTTAAGGTGTTTAGTATCCAATATCAAATATTGCATATATTAATTAGAATGTATTTTAAATATAAGAAAAAGTATTAGGAGAATTACATTGAGTGATATGACAATAATTATTATATAATGCAGAGAAACGAATGATTCTTATATAATGACGAAATAAATTTAAACAATCTTAATCTACAAAATTGTTCCAAACAAAACTGAAATAGACTAGTCAACAGTCTAAATAAATTAATCTAAATAAAAAAATAACTGTTACAATATCCAAGAAAAACTTTTTCTTTTGTAAATATGTGAAAAATTATCAGGAACGGGAATATCGAAAAAGCTTTGCACATTTTTTAATCCCGGCGATTAAAAAGACAAGTTGCGCACTTGAATCACTGCGAAATTTTAACACCTACCATGAAATTTTTTTTTGTGGAAATCTAAAGTGCAGTTTTTGTCCTTGTTAAAATATAATGCAGTCTGACATTTTTTACACACAACATAAGTTTACCTAGTTGGCATAGCAACCTGGTAGTTTTCAGTGAAACCTTGTGTTATTCCATATGGGATAATGGTTTTCCTTGGGATAAAGTTTTTGACAACCTTTAAAACACTTTATACACCTTGTCTATTAGGACCTATATTATTAGGTGTGAATGGTCAACCCCCTACAATGACACTATTGAATGGCAAGTTCTTGTTCTAATTCTTCGAGATGTTTTGATAGTTTTTATGTTGTAGGTGGCAATAGTCAAATTTATTTTGAGTAAACATGGTATTGAATTTCTTGGATTTAAGGGTGATATTTGAATTTAATGCTATGATACGCCTCTAACATGAGGACATGACGCGGTTTGTAGCCGCGTAATTTGGGTTGATTACGGCGATGGTCAATTTATTAGCAATCCTAAAATCCAGGTTTGGGACTTCTCCGTCGTGCCTGTCATTGTAGTCTTCACCCATTTCCCTGGATAAGGAGTCCATATTATACCCCCAAACGACTGGGTCTCTATCTGAATGTTACCATCTACTACTCCGGCATACAATTAAAGACATGCCCACGTAAACAATTGGACATGGCAGACAGGAATAATAAATAAGAGCGACTGTGTCACCTTTGATTTGGATTAGTGAATATTTGTGAACCAATGTCCAAATTAAATAGTATTACCGTTAAACTAGAAAAATTAAGTTCAGTAATATACAGTGTTTAAAAAATGTAACAAAAATACCTTTGAATAGCTTCTTGTTTATTTTTTCTGTGCATTTCAATATATCTTGCAATACTTTCCTCATAAATTGCGGAAATACGATTTTCGTTTTCTACCATTTTTTTCTCGTACATTTTTATGATATTATCCCTTTCATCAATTATTGTATCGATGGCCCGATGCAAATGCTTGATTTCTTCAGATTTTTCATCTGATGTTCGGCCTTCGCTTAATTCTTCGTTAAGCCTGTTAACTAGAGTCTGGAGTCTTCTAATCTCCTCTTTAGCTCTATTGCATTCGTTCGTGAGTTTTTCCATCTCTAGTTTATTAGCTAAAAAGATCAATATTAAAATAGTGGATACAGTTAAATAACAGTTAAATGAATATTTCTAAAAAATGAACTATGGAAATAGTGAAAAAACTATTTTAAAAAGCCAATAAGAAAATACAATAGGTATATTATAAAACATTAGTTTAAAAAAGTTCCTCTGCAGTTTGGGATAAAAGATACAGCTTTTAATTAGCTTCTATTTTGTTTAACATATATGCAAATGTGCTGTGAAAGAATTTGACTAGAAATAAGTAGCAACCACCTTTTTACTCTGAATTTTGCTGACAAAGAGAATGCTAAAATGTAAAAAATGTGGACTACAAGTTAACAAAAAGAAGAGAAAAGAGTAATTATATAGAAGTTATAGAAGGCAGATCAATCGTTCGGGTCTATTGAGAGCACACATATTGGATCCCACATCTGAGAAAGAATAAATGGCCATGAGATAAGTAATCAAACAATACAAGTGTAGCGAGCTATCAACTTTTTCCTAAAATCTGGAACATAACCAAAACCGAAATAATAAAAAATATATAAAAACATTAAACAAAATGCGACAAAAGGGGCCAAAAATATGTTACTGGATCAAATTAAGACTTTTCATATCTACAGAAATAGATTTTTGTAGAAAGAAAACTTCTTGGCCAGATTGACAATTTAAGCAATAGCGACTCATGGCAAGATCTCATATAAATCTAGACGTGGTACAAAATCAAGAAAAAATCTCCATCTGTAAGGAAAAACATGCATTAGCTTATCCAGCAGGAGAGAAGTAATTTGGTTCTTAAACCTTTAATATAGCGAATTGTATCTCAATACTCATCTCTTTACACGTTCTAGGAATTCTAGTGTACATTATGCGAATAAATATATTCAGAATGTGGTTCCAGGAATTACTTGAAGACTAGGACAAAGAAGTGGGAGGATCAAGTACAAAAAGCAAAAAAACTCGAAGAATGCCTTAATAACACTATACGGCGAAACAGACTCTTAATGAGATGAAGTAAATAATTTATAAAGCCAGTGTAACACCACTAAAGATATATGGCTCAGAAACAAGACCCGACACAGCCACAACGCAGGCTACTGGAAACGGAAGAAATGAGAGTACTGAGAAGAATTACAGGAAATACGCTGAGATCGAAAAAGAAGTGAAGACATTAGAAGAAAATGAAACGTACAGTGTATATAAGTAATGGACACAAAATAAAAAAAAGAATTGAATAACCACAGAAGCAGAATGGAGGAGACCCCTGTCACCAAAATAGCAAGAGATAAGTCACCAATCGGCAAAAGAAGTATCGGACGATCGCGCAAAAGATGGAGTGACAACCTTCCATAGAGGTATTAATCTGCCAATGAACAAGCAGAATTGCTTATAAAGAGAAAAAAGAAGAAGACGATTGTGGTTCATTACGCTAAAAAGTCTGCAAGTACTGTCAGTTAGTCGCCAGTCAAAATTTACTTTGATGGTCTTAATTAAAAAAAAAAAATTCTATAATTATCCTAAAATGAATGAACAAATCACCAACCAACAAACAATGTTAAAAGATACTCACTAACAACGTCCTTAAGTCTTGGAGAATTTTCTGATTTCGTTAATATAGAAAATCTAGTTACTTTTTTAATTGGTTTAGGTAGCTCTTCTTTGACGATAACAGTTTTAGCGATAGCGGAAAAATTGAGAACATGAACTGTTTCATCCAACATATTCCTTGAAGGATTGATGTTAACAATCATCTCTACATTTTCATGACCTAGAAGGGCATTTTGGAAAATTTGTGTCAACTTTGATTCTCTGAAAGGTATAGGTAAGGTACATTCTCTAAAAGGTATAGGTACGGTACTTTCTTTTATTTGTTGACACTTTCTTATATTCTCCATGCATCTTCCTACAAACGAAAAAGTTAAAAATAAAAATTTTGAAATCGCAGAAATTATTTGTGGCATCTTAAAACAATTAACTGCGATTAAAGTATACTTAAAAAGGTGTGTCGCATTACGACCGATTTTCAGTGCTTTTCTAGTGGCTTTCCTAGATAATATTTCGCAAAATATCTAACGTCTTTCCTTAAACCATTCATTGGCCAGTCTGAAATTTAGGTCAAAGATTCTAGACACTTTCAACGAGGAAATAAAGAATACACTTCGAATACCGAAAGATATACTAGTGAGTTTCGATGTAGTCTCACTGTTTACTCATGGTTGCAGATGACCAAGCGTTATAGTGTGTCAACAGTTTTATTTCGGTAGGGGCTGCAGCTATGTAATTACTGTAATTTGTCAATTGACATCGCGCAAGTCTGTAGCAAAATGGTTGCTGGAACATCAACCAGAGCAAATTAACACAAAACAAACCTCGGCTCGAGACCTCGAAAGAATACAATTAACGCCACAGTCAGCAACAAAGTGTTGTTAAAAACCAAAGAACTTGAACGAGCAGAATAGGTCATACAGCAACGTTACAAATGTATTCAGGTTGGCGGTGACACACGGACACAATCCTAATACTGATAAGGAGAGAAAGCGAAGAAGTAGACGCGATAAGGCGGTAGAAGAGGTCCAAAAAAAAAAAATCGAAGCCACTCCACAACATATCAAATGAGCACGTGAAAACCAAAGTTGAAATCAAGACTGCGATAATGGCCCAACACAATATGTCAAAGGCACTTCAGATGAAAATGGAAAACTACAAAGAAAAAACGGAGAAAATCTTAGAGAGAGGAGTGAGTAAAGGTGAACATAAGAGGTGGGTTGGCGAAGAATGGCCGGAGGATGAATTTAAAAGAACAAAAGCAGCAGAGAGAAGGGAAATTGTACCATCAGGAAAGGAAACAAAGTTAAGATAATTACGCTAGATGGGCACAAAGTCCCCCCCCCCCTACCCAAATAGTAATACCTAGTAAAACAGCGGCTGATACACTGTTACGGCAGAGAAAGGTAAACTGTGAGATGACACCTAGATATCGACCAATATGCTGCCCACTCACTAGTGTCTACACTTCGAGCATACCAGGGACAAATGCAAAGAAAGGACTTTAAAATACAAATGTCTTGAATTGCTAGGAGGAAGGGGACAACGTTAGGAAGTGTAACAATACGTCACACTGCGGAATCTGCAGCAAGGACCACAGGATAGACTCGAAAAATTGTCCTGAGTTCAGGAACCTCGTAGCCGAAAAGGACTAGGGGAAGAAGCGCAAGTACGCCGGTGGGAAAAAGATTAGGCCTGTAAATTCAACTCTACTATACTACGTTCCACGTTTAGAAAATAACATTGCGGAGATAGGGCCATGTATTTCTTATTGACGATAGCAACGCGGCGTTGCCACGACACACACAAGAACAATTTAGGGTTGTATAATTTGTATTTTCTTTTCCACAAACATGATTTAAATTAATGTTTTTTAATGTTTAACGTAATTGACCAAAAGTGCCCATTCGAAACAAGAGATGAAAAGTAGGGAAAATAATTTTAATTAGATAAATAGTATTTACAAAAGATAATTTTATTTTATCTTATTTTAATTATAGTAACGATAGTTTATTTGTTTTTCGGTGAGAATACGATATGCCATGAATCATAGAAATCAGTAGAAAATATTGACCGCTTGGAATGCGTATATCTAATTACTAATTGCAACTTAAAATAATAGGATGTGCGTATGTCAGCGATTTTATGTCGTTCTCTGATTATATAATGATAATAAGGCTTTTATTTAGTAGTTATTCTGACTTTACAGTTAAATGTTAATTGAAAATGAAAATTCAAAAATTAAGCAAAGGGAATATCTTGGACATCCGTGCAAAAGAGAGTGTCTGAGAGTTTTGGCAACACTGATCTCCATAAGCGTAATGTTATTTTCTTAACTTGAAACAAAGAATAGGGATGTTGCTAGTCTCAGAGTCAAATAAAAAGTTTACGATCCAAGTAGGCTGGATCACGGACAAAAGGTAAGATGTAGCAGTTTATATTAAAAATAGAGAGCTGGGGTGAAAATTTGCCAGAAGAAAGAGGGATTAATAATCTGAGATCATGGAACGGTCACAATAGTGATGACATACTAAATTCATACTTGTCATCATAATTATTTCATTTTTGTTGATCATTAAAAATTAAATGGTCTGAATAATATCTTGGTATGAATTGCATTGGTAAATTAATAATCAATCGGCAAAAAGGTTATTTAAAACATGCGAACAGTTTTTGCAATCGGTGTTTATCGTTGTTGTTATAGTATTGGCTGTTAGGTTTAGTATATTGGCGTTAATTATTTTTTATTCTAAAGTAAGACAAAATATTAGGGTAAAGTAAAACGATTTGTCATATATGTCATCAGTTTTTCGTAGAATAAAAATCGTTATAACCACTGGTTATAATATATCCACGGTTTACGATATCCACGTCATGGACCCGTCCCACAAGAGGAAAAACAAATTATCTGGAAGGTGATGGACTATGATGGACTTAAAAAAACACTACCTTCAACGGAAGCTGTTAGTCGCTCTTCTTTTTTAACAGGGGTATCAGCGGAAACAGTTAAACGTATTGTGCGTGAGAAAAAACTAACAAATGGTTTTAAACCTCCATCTAGAAATCGCGGACGAAAACCTCTTAAGTTGGATGAAGCCCAAAAAATATCCTCCATGAACTATAATTTATTTTTTTTTAAATAGAGATGCAACTCTCAAATCTATATTAAGTAAAATAGGCAAAGTCGATAAATCCTAAAATGAGCCATCAATTATTACGAAAAGTATTAAAATATATTAACTTTCGATATATAAAACGATAAAACTCCGCTAAATATTTGGAGCTATAAACGATAAAGAGCAATGGCGCTAAAGATTTAATTTCGAAATATACCAAATCTTTAACGAAGCAGATGTCGTAAGGTTCATTAAAACACAGCAACTTAAATGGACCGGACACATAATACGAATGCCTGACAACATGATTGCTAAAAAGCTAAAGACAGGAACACCTATAGAAAGAAGCAGAGGCTGAGCGCAAATTGGGTTGTTAGATGGAGTTGAGACCGACTTAAGGATACTAGATATCAGAAGATGGCAACACGTTGCCAGAAACCGAACAGAATGGCGACTATTCTTAGAGCGAACCAGGATCCACAGTGGATTGTCGAGTCAACGATGATGATGATATGAAACGATGCCGGAATTCCATTGTAACAGATAAGGAGGAAATAATATCATGACGACGTAATTATCTACGCTCAATTCGGGAATATCGTGCGACATAACGAAAAATTTACCTCGACGAAACTTGGGTTAACGCCGGACATACAGTCGCCAAAGTTTGGCAAGATACAACAGTAACAAATGCATGATAAGCCTTTATCAACAGGATTACGAGCACCGTCAGGTAAACGCCGGCGTCGAATTGTCGCCCATATTGGCAACGATACTGGTTTTCTCCAAAATGGTGCCCTTGTTTTTATATCGAAGAAGACAGGGGACTATCATCATGAAGACATGAACTCCATATGCATGAAGTAGTGGTTCGAGAACATTCTTCAGCATATAGATAGTAACTCATTGTATTGCATCTTATCACAGCCGCCTTGTTGAACGCATTCCAACGATATAGAAAATCCATATGCAGAGCTGGATACCAGGAAAATGTATTTCGTTAAAGTCGGCACGTAATTTCGGGAGAAAATTTATAGGAACAAGAGGGAGTAAAATAATAACAAAATGGCAACAATGTTAGAGTGATCACTACTTTATTAAACAGTAGCGTAGATATCTAATTTTAAATTAAAAGTTTTTACTTTTACTTAATTTTATCTACCAAAAAGTTTCATTTTCTATAAAGTTTAAATAAAAAGAGTTTCCGGTTTCTGATCATAATATAGGCCTTGCCTATTTTAAAATTTTAAAGTGTTTGTCCGTGTGTAGTGTAATGTGATGTACAATTTTATGTTTATAACATTTTATTCTTGTTGGATAGGCCACTATTGACGAAATGCCCCTGAAGATGCTCTAGGAAGCGAAAGTACTTGGTCAAGATTTAATTAATAAAACTGTGCTCGGTATCTGCCTTTTATTTGATCAAATTTCATTTATTCGAGCATTCAACCTTTATATCAATTTAAATAATAAATATCGGTGTTGTTAACTTCTGTTATATATATAGGGAGTGATAACACTAATCGACTCGACTGAACAGAACTTATTATAAAATAATAATAATACAATCGTAAAATAGTTTCGAAACACAATTCAGATTTCTGCGTTATAATCTGAGCCTTCTAAAAATTGCAAGGCAAACAGACGTTGATGAAAGATGTTAAAAGAGACATGGGGAATCTAAAATTTGCATTCCACGACATGTCTTTTACAACTAAGCAGAAATCCTTAGCGAATTGTGCTTCTTGTACTCCCACAGAGCAAATCCGAATAAAATGAGAAAAGGCAGCAAATATTTGATTTCACGCAAACAAATCCTATGTATCTCCTTTCTCATTTTAATAATAATACCTATAAAAAATTGTTAATGAAAGTAATTATCACATACAATTAAACACATTTTTTATGAACAAGTATTTTAGTGTACAAACGTTTTATTAACACAACTGCTCATCAGTTTTAAAACTTATAAGCACATTTAATCCCTGATAACTTATTTATTGTAATCAAGAAAAACAGAGAATTCATTTTTTAAATTATATACAGGGTATTTTAGTAACAACTTTGGTTTGACACCGTGTGAGAGAAGACTTAGTACCCCAATAATTTAAAAATGGGCAAGAGGCCTAAAACTTTTATGAACATCTTTATATATCTAGCAGGTATTTTATAATAACCTAAACTGTACCTTGACTATTTTAAATTAAATACTTTGTACGTTTTTGTTCTATCATGAAGTGTG